ACATGCAATCAAAAAAATATGAGAAATAAATATACAGAAATCACAACTTACCATAATACAATCACAACCAACCTTAATGCATTTACATTACAGTATGTATTTTTTTTTTTTTCTATTTTAGCTCTTAAATCCCAACTTCATCTATGACGGTAGGTCTTGATCTAATTTAACACTGACTGAAATATTCGATCTAGTGTTTGATGCTAGTCTTTTGTCTTCAGCCTCTCCAGAGTTCCTGGTCCCTGTCAGCGATGTGTCATGTGAAAGTGGCGACAGTGTGACTCTCAGATGTAAAGTCTGTGGCCGACCCAGGGCCTCAGTCACATGGCGTGGACCAGAAAACAACATCCTCAGTAACAATGGACACTATAGCATCACATACAGGTAATAACTCTAAATAACTGCAGTACTCTAGTATACATACAAGTTCTAATTTTAAACTTGAAATTCTTCCTTGGATTCTACAGTGAGACAGGTGAAGCAACTCTTCGCATCCTGGGGGTGACAGTAGAAGACAGTGGCGTTTACACTTGCGTTGCGACTAATGTAGCGGGCTCTGGCTCCTCTTCAGCTAATCTTAAAGTCACAGGTCAGGTTATTATTGTTAGACGGTTGTATTTGTGTATTACTTCCCTCTTATTTGTATGAATAATTTAAGTAAATCATGACTACTCATTTCAGGGATTTATGAAGACAGCAGCTGGAAAGGCAACTTTGAGCTTTATTACACAGAGATAACTGAACTGGGAAGGTATGCATGTACTCATTTACAAGTAATACAAGAAGAAATACCACCAAAATGTTTTTCTCAACAGAACTTGATATTATTTTTCATAACAGGGGTCGGTTCTCAGTGACCAAACGGTGTGACCAGAGAGGAAGTAAACGGACTGTTGCAGCTAAACATGTGAACAAGAAGCTTCAGCGTAGAGAACAAGTGCAACAGGAAGTGCGGCTACTGCAGACCGTGGACCATCCCAATCTGGTCCGCCTACTGGACACGTACGAGACCGCCAACAGCTATGTACTGGTGCTTGAGATGTAAGTGAACTAATCTGTTTTCTTCAGTATTAAAAAACACTAACTTGATTTCTATAAATATATTCTAAAATACTGTTTTGGTGTTTCAGGGCTGATCAGGGACGCTTCCTTGACTACATAGTGAGCTGGGGCAACCTAACAGAGGAAAAAGTGGCTCTTTATCTTAGAGATATTCTTGAGGCTCTGCATTACCTACACAGCTGGAGAATAGCACATTTGGATATAAAGGTAGCAAAAGGGGAAAAATGTCAAATATGTAACTATAATCATGATTGTATAACTTGTTTTATGCAACCATAATATCAACCCTGGCCCAATAATGAAGGCATTGTATATGTACTGTCTAAATTAATTGGCTTGCACTGCATAAAGATATTGAAGGTACCCTAAAGATGGTGTAGGTTTTTGCATTTTTACTGTAGATGTGCTCGCCTTTCAATAGATATGACCTGTAACTTTGCCTGGTGGCGTCACCTGCTCGTCTCCATGGGTATAGAAAAGTTTAATGCCATACTGTTAAGCATTCCAGGCAAAGCAGTCACATGTCCATAGAGGTGGTAGACCCTCCTCCAGAAAAGTTACATTGTGGGTCTTTCATTTTGATATATCCACATGAATTTTCTAAAGCTTAGATTGTTTTCTTATAGCCGGAAAACATCCTGGTGGAACATGCTTCTTCTCAGCCTGTGATCAAGCTGACAGACTTTGGTGATGCTGTTCACCTGAGCCAGTCTTCCTCTCATATTCACCATCTTTTGGGAAACCCAGAGTTTTCTGCTCCTGAGGTTGTCCTTGGCCAGCCTGTCTCACTGACGTCGGATCTCTGGAGCTTAGGTATCTTGTTCAGAAACCTTTTATAATTATACTGATTGTCTATTTTCATATCCTCCACAACATTATTATTGTGAAAGTATTTGTGCTCATTCGATAATTGAAAGCAAACTTCATACAAAAAATATAGAGTCAGGATGAAGTGAATGCTGATGAATCAGATAATCTCCTAAAGCTTTTTATTTTTGCTTTTGATACAAAGTTTATTGTTACTGTTTTTTTTTGTTTTTTTTTACCAAATCACCTAAAATATAATAATAAATATACTGATATTATAATTAAGTGGTTTTAATTTTATGTTCTGTTGGATTTAAAGAGGTGGTATTGCAATTCTATGAGGTATTTTTGTTAATACATTACCTTTTATGGTTTTCAAAATGTCATATTGCATGGATACAACATTTTCAGTTTTAGTTGTGATTTGTTTGTTTTGGCACTCTGACTCTCCCTTCCCCTTGTTTCCAGTTCTCTCCCTTCATCACAACACAATCAATGTGCATTCTGCTAATGAAACAACTGCACATCGCATCGAGTTTGTTAGTTGTAGTGTATTGTTTTGTTTAGAACTTTTGTATATTTATAAAAAACGACAGTGCGGGAGCATGGGCTACAGCATGTAGGTTTATGAGTTGTGGGTGCCCAGGAGAGGTTGCACAATTACTGAAACATGCATAGATGAAACATGAATGGATATAAAACCACTTTAGGCATATTTTTGATGAAGGAAATTTGTTAACATGATAGAAAGCTCCAAAAAGTAGATTTTGCATAATACCCCCTTTAATGATGCTTATGTTTTGGTAAATGCTTCCCAGGGGTGGTGACCTATGTGTTGCTAAGCGGTGCCTCTCCTTTCCTGGATGAAAGTTTGGAGGAGACCTGTCTGAACATCTGCCGGCTGGACTTCAGTTTTCCTGAGGATTACTTTCAGGGCGTGAGCATGGCTGCCAAGGACTTTGTGTGTCTGCTGCTCCAGGGTGAACAAGACCGCCGCCCCCCCGCTGGTTTGTGCCTGCAGGACCCCTGGCTCCAGTCGCGTGGCCTCATCAACGGAGATTACCACCACCAAGCCCTGCCACAGAACCACCACAGCGCCCCCTTGGACACATCCAGGCTCATCTCATTCATTGAGAGACGTAAACACCAGAATGATGTTCGGCCTATAGCTTCTATTAAGTCCTTCCTGCATAGCCGCCTGCTGAACCACATGTAAGCAACTATAAATAAAGAAACATGTAGCCATTGATATTTTTTCTGAAGATGTAAATAGGATTCAGTTGAGCTGAATCCAAAATTTGGGGAATTTCATCATCACCTCCATGATGTTCTTCTCCTTTTCTTGCCTCTAAAGTCCTGCTGCTGCTGACTAACCTCTGCTGAGAAAACCCAGATGTTTCTTCTCCTCCCCTTTGAACATTAGGCATATGCTGTCAGTATGCCGGCACAAACTAACCGTTGGAATCTGAGATTTCATAGTTTTGACTTTGCAGGGAGAAGCTTTCTCATCAAAGCCAGCACGATCAGCGTCGTGTTTTGTGACAGTGTTAATCCGAAACTAGAAAACTGTAAATTAAGAGTTATTCAGGCTGCTTTCAGTTCACAAATGTTTTTCTTTTTTGTAATGAGAGATTACCTTTTGTAAATGTAATGGTGTACAGTAAGAAAACAGAACTGTCTTTATTCATACCTTTTGGAAAGCTAAAGTGAGTTGTTACATAGGAAGCTTAGAGCAGTGGCTATTAGCAGGTCACTGGAACAAGATGAAGACCAAAACCATGTTTCCATACATGCATTGTATTATCATTCAGTGCAATAGTTTGCTTAATGTTATGGCCCTTGTTTATTATAAAAAATAAAATTATTTTATTTTAGTTGGATTTTGAGAATTGTTAAAACTATTGGGCATCCGCTTTTGCAGATTTTTACTCGCATCTGCCTTATTTGTATATAAAGTACTGCCTTTTCATCTTAAAGCTAGTGAGCATTAGTGAATTCATGCAGTTCACTTTGAACAAACAAAAACATGGTTGTAGTTTGCATTATTTTTCATGTGCAATGTTGCAGCTTTAACATTTATGCAACTATTTATGAACACTTGTGTTGTAGTTGTATTAAAAAGGCATGTACATACTGGTACTGCGATAGATGTCTGTATTGTGTTAACTCTATTAAGTTCAGTATTAAAATCTGAAACCTGGCGTTGTTTTATGTGGAATAACTGCATTACTATAAAATATAGGCACTTATGCTTTCATTGTTATATTTTATGTAACAATACCAAAGTTGACTTTTTTTTTTCTTTTTAATTTATAAGCACACTAAACCCAGATATGTATGTGTTTACATAGATTCAGTCTGGTTTTTATTTATTCTTCTTGTAATTAATAATTTGTGTGATGTAACAATGAGAAATATTCCACTTGTCTGTTACGAAGCTGTGCACAAAGTGGTTTGCTGTGTGAGTTTGTTTGGCGTTTGTAGATAGATGCTGGCGTTTGTTGCATAGAATTTGTTCTTTATATTAATCTATATGGGGCAGACATTGGACAGACTTGAGTAAGCAATAAGTCTGTAACACATGTTTTCTTGCTCAATCAACTTAAAATCCTGAACAATGCATATAACAAAAAATTACATTTATTTTAGGTAAACCTTTCAAGGATTTTTTATTTTCTTTTTAAGTGCCAGTAGATTGACTCTAGTGTAAGGGAGTGATCTAACTATTCATTCTGAAGGTCATTTTTATTTAATGTCTCAGTAACATCTTAAGTGTTGTTTTGTATAGTCCTGTCTCGAATATTTAATTTATTATGTAAATGTGGGTCTCTTGTTCTGTCAATCAAATCTCACAATAATGAAAAAGATGAAGTAATAAAATGCCTTGGAGAAACCTGGTCTTGTCCCGATGTAAAGATGTACAGAGAGGCTGAGCTGTAACCTCATAACTACTGTATGTCCTGTTTTAAATACACATTGTACCAGGCTGCAGCAATGTCAGTTTGAATGTCTATTCTGATTACTTGTACTATGTTTAATTTTGCATGTATATTTCTCTGTACAGAAGATTGTGTTTAAATGTTACTATGTGTTGTAAATATTTTTATTTTGTCCTGTTAATTTGCCATTAAATGTACAATGCACAACAATGATTTGGTGAGGTTTATTGAAAGTAATATTGTGAAAAACATACTGTCCATCTGATTCATTCATTTTGTAGACAATATGAAAATGTGATTTTCAATTTTTGAAAAAAGACGCAACAAGTTAGATAGCACTCTATTAACCTTTGCTCTGATGTACATATATTCATAAGGGTTGTTTCACCTGTGTGGGGTGGTAGTGACCTTATCTACCTTCTGCTTTTGTTACCAAGTCAAAATGCAAAATGTTTCATGCTCAAATTTGATCCTGCTACAAATTACTTTAACCTTTGTCTTTGTTTAGTAAAATGTGGAAATGCTGTTGCTGATCAGATGTGATGTTCTTTGTCATCTGTACAGCAAACAAACATGCCGGTATGAGTTCACAAGTGGGACAGTCATTCAGTCTTCCGCTTCTTTGTTTTTTCAAAGTTCATGAAGTCATTGTGGTAAGAGAATTGCAGAGGCCTTCTTGTCCACTAGGGAGCTCCAGAGTGCAACACCTATCATTTATTTTTCACATAGTAGCAAATGTAACAGACAGTAAACAAATATTGATATTATTGACATGCAAGTAAAGAACACAACTATTAGCTATAATAATAACAATAATATATAATAAAAAATGACAAATCAAAATGTATAAATGAACCCAACCAAGAAAAGGTTCATGCTTTCTGTTGTTTCACAAATATTTGGGCTGTTGTTAGTTTGATCAATTCATCAGTACTTCCAGTAATTTCAGAGATTGTTCATTTGTTTTGACAGTTTTATGTTTTGTACTGATGAAAGGTATTGCATATGTCCTTTTTAGAAGTTTGTGGTTTAGTGTAGGTGTGACCACAATGTAATGTGAGGCAGGCATCGTCACTTAGTTTAAGCCAAGGCATTAAAATGTGAAATGTGAAACAAAACAGTCCAGATATGCCCAGTATACATTCAACATAGGTCTTTTTTTTAAATGTTGAAACTGTAATATTGTTGTTTCCATTCAGTGTGTTTTTTTAAAGGGGCTGCCCCAGTCATCTTCCTCAACATTTCCCCATTTACAGTTTTTTTGTTTTGTTTTAGAATACCAATTAGTTGCACATTCAATTCTATGTTACTTTCTAGCACTGTTAAATGTTTTTAATATACAAATGGACATAGCATGACTAATAACTGAACTTTTATTACACAACTCTTTGGGTTACCTATTGTATTTACACTTGTGCATACAACACTCAACATTTAACCTACTCTTTGTAACCAGCATCAAAACCACAACCACATCCGTTTTCTACACAGCAGTGCTCCTCTCATCTAGGCTGCTGGTCTGAGAGTACATCGACCCACTGGCACGGTCCTGGGGTAAAAGGACCTTGATAAACCTGCACAGACTACAAGGGGTTCTGTTGATTAACCTTATCAAATGTCTCCTAAACTTTTCTCCCACAAAGACATATAAAATGGGATTGAGACAGCTGTGAGAATAGGACACGGCCTCTGTTATCGGTAAAGCATTAGCAATGGCTTGACTGCTGTGGCATTCTGTATAGATACCCAAATACTCCAGTGCTTTGAAGAAGATCACAACATTATAGGGGGCCCAGCAACAGACGAACACAGCTACTACTAGGAGAACCAAACGGATTGCTTGTTTCTTTGATGTCCGACTTGACATTAACCTCCACAGGATTTGTGAATAACAGAAACCCATGATTAGCAATGGCACTAGTAACCCTAAAACATTCATTTTGAAAAAACTAAACACTCTCCAGAAATGTATATCTTCTTGTTCATCTTTAGGGTAAAAAGGGTAGCACACGTTTTTTTGTACTGTGTGTTTTTCTTGAAGAAAGATAATATCAGGGAAAGATGCACAAAATCCCACAATCCATATGACCCCAGCTGCAATCATGCCAAAGGAGCGTGTCCTTGCCCTCATTGCGTAAACAGCATGGACTATAGCCAGATAACGGTCAATGCTCATAAGGCAAATGAAGAAGATGCCACAATATAATACAATGTGATAGACTCCAAGGACCACTTTGCACATTGCATCTCCAAATTTCCATTGGTCCCAGGCTTGGTGTGCTAGGAAGGGCAGGGTGCAAGCCAGGAGGAGGTCCGCCACAGCCAAGTTTAGGAGACAAACATCAGTCATGCTTCGAAGACGGACTCCACACGCAATTATCCAAAGGACCAAGGAGTTTCCCAGAATGCCAATCACAAAGAAAAAGATGAAGAAGGCGGGTAGAATGTAGGTTGCATGGTTTTCATATTTACATGGTGTGTAGCTGTCCAGGTCCAGGTCATTGTAATCAATATAACCACCGTAATAATCTGGAGTGCTGTAGAGAGAAAACATTATATGTGGGATTTAACACAGAGATTTCTTGGGGCAGTGTTACTGTATAATTCTGCCACAGTAATTACATTAGCTCAAAAGTCCTAAGTCTCTAAGTTAAGAGAGAGACAATCTGGTTGATGCTTTGTCACTGAAAATACAGTCCATTTCATAGTGTGATATTTCATGTATGTTTCTGATATGATCATAGATAGGTAAAACATCATAAAGATATATTGTATGTACAGTATATGTTCATAGAAACTTACCTTGTTGTGAAATTTCCCTTCGTGAAAATAGTTTGTGCTGTTGAAGCAGGGGTGGACAGCGCCATACTCCATTGCCTGGAGAAAAGAGATGATTCACTACTCAGGAATGAGGAAATAAAAAACCAAAAAGCCAAAAATCAGCACATTGGGTAATATGTTTTGCCTACTTAAAGTCCTGGTTAAATGTAAATATGACAATGCTAGTCTACAAATAATGCTATTATTATATAGGTTAGGTTGAGAAGGCACACATTACTATAGGCCAATAGGAGTTTAAAACAATGCATATAGATTTATTCACTATCTTGTCCGACTGAATTAAAATGTGCAAAATGTCGTTGTTAACTATCAACTATTACTTATGTTTCTTCTGCCTGATCACATCTAAAGCAATATATATGATTTATAATTATAATTTGCTAAATATGTAAATGTATTGTAAAATATAGATGCGTAAATTCTTGCCTGTTGGTGGTTGTGTTCATCTTGCAAATGAGGGTGGGCTTGTACATTTTGGTTTGTATTATAGATTCTCATTTCCTTTAACTCTAGAAACCACAGATCTGACAGTCCAAACATTTCTACCTGCATGATATAGGCACTTGCATGCATGTACCTAATATATTTAACAGTATTTTACAGCTGTAATGAGTATGTCTACAAACTATAATAAAAGCAAATAGTTACAGCATGTAAAGAAAATTTTATCTTTTTTAACAAATTTGAAAAAAGCAAGAAACTACATTTAAAAGCAATATTGTTTTATTTGTATGTTAGCAATGAACAGAATGCCAAAAGCCACAAACAAAAAATGTTTGTGGCAGAGAACAGTACATCACTACGCTTCTTCTCAAACACTTTTTTTTTTTTTTTTTGTATTATAAAACTACATGTTAACCAAGAATACAATTATAAAGGAGTTTGATTTATGATTAACTGAAGGAATAACTTGGCTCTGAAAAGCGTGAGAGGTTGATAGAAAGGCTAATGACACTGCTGCAGTGGAGACTGTGTATAGTTTTTTAGTTTTATGTTAATCCTAAAAACGATAGTTTTACTCATATTCATAGTTAACACCGATCTTATAACATTGTGGTGAGTTCATCGTACTGAGAATGAATACTCAGATCTCACAGTGTTAGTGGTCTCTTTCTCTGATGTGTCTTTGTTACTGGTTGTTGCCCTTCTCTGGTCTCTCTTGTGAATACATCTGAGTAGCACATTGCTCATTGACTTCCTAAACTTCTCCCCCACAAATGCATATATTATAGGGTTAACGCAGCAGTGCAACAGTGCAAGAATCTGACTCACCACAATGGCGGTGTTGATTTTCTGGGTATTTAAACAGGAGTTAAGAATCTCATATATCTGAAGAGTTTGTAGGAAGACAATAATATTGTATGGCACCCAACATACAACAAACATACACACGATGATCAATATTAGCTTTACTGCTTTGTATCTGTTTGAATTCCTGGCTTTGGAAAGTACCATTAGAATTTTCACATAACAGAATAACATAATTGGCAGGCAAACAAACAGATTGACAATGTTCTCACTAAAGTTTCTAAATTTCTTCCAAAAGTTTACACTTTCATTTGGATATCGTGGTCCACATTTAACAGAGGTATCATCTTCCTCCACACTGGCAAATATGACCTGGGGGATTGCCATAGCAAGAGATATGATCCAGATGATGATGCTGATGATAATCCCATAGTGGAGTGAACGGGCTTTCATGGCTGCGACAGCGTGGACAATGGCCAAATAACGGTCCACACTCATGAAAGTGACAAACAGGGTTCCGCTGTACAGGCCCAACTGGAAGATAGAGAGATAAACATGTATTGAGTATATCTACAGCCATAAGTATGCCCAATCTCATCTACTCTCTGAAGCAAAGCAGGGTTTGGCCTGGATGAGAGACTGCAGGGAATAGATGCTCACTCTCATTGCATACGTAGGCAAGACACTTCCTGCACCCTGCCTCCAGTGTCCATGCATGCTGGTGTAAGAGTGTCTCTGAGAGCAAATGCGGGACAACAGATGGAAATTACTCAATATTACAATCTGGCATGTTTATAGCATGTAGGCTATATTATGTCCATATACATACACTGTCCCCTCCAAACTCACAGACAACTGCATAAATAAATATTGCTAAAACAATGCACGCCATTGGCCATGTAGGGTGTATATATGTATATAGGTATATATATGTATATCTATATCTATATACACATGTATATATGTACTAGTATGGTGAACTCGTACACGTTTATTTATTTGTTTGTTTTTATGTTAGAAGTGTAAAACTACATATGTGTATGTTTGTGAAAGGCTGCACTGAAAAAATGGTCTGAGAGGGGTTGGTCAAATTGCAAACACAAATTTGACAACAATAACATGACATTTTTACAGTTCTCTGTCCAGCATGTTTAAATCTTACAAAGGTCTTACAAAGCTCCTCCCTCTGGAAATCCCCTCCTAAAACTAGAAAAGGGAAGCAGAGGACACACTCAGGGCACAGGAAAAAGATACAGAGAAAAAGGAAGATGTTTGAGAACCAACAAAACACAGACCACAGATGAACAAAGTAAACCAACTATAATGATTTTATTAGAATTATATTTTTTCTACATATACTTCCTAATGAACATGTATCATGTGCTTCTGCAGGATGAAATGGCATGTATACCACATGCCCTTCTTGTTATTGCGTTTTGAGGAAGAAAACCACATGGAGAGTTGTTGCATGTACTAATGTTCACCGTGATTCTGTTCTGGTTCATTATCATATTATAAAATGATAGGTGCTTCAGCTATAATAGAATAACAAGTGCTGCAACTATACTTAAACATATACAACACATGATTACAGTATAATGATAATGTAATAATGTTTTCTTCCTGTTTCCACAAGTAGAGACCAGAGCTACTTCACTAAACTACTTAGTTCTCAGCTCAGTGTGTCTCTGTACCTGTGCACTGTGTGTTTGATTCTGTTTAAGACAATACAGAACTATGGAAAACGCTTTTGTATTCTTTTACTTTAAAATCCTGTAAGGACATTTGATGGTGCATTTTAATATAATTGTGCATACAGAATTAAATTATACACCACAAAAAAGGCAGATTTTCATGATAAGGTAACATAAGTGTATCACATTTCATCAATATGGAAAAGTGACATTCATGTTCTGACAAAAATATGTTTAGAAGGGATCGAAATAAGTTTTAAAGCCTGAACATTTTTTTTTTTTTTTTTTTTTTTTTGCATGCAACCGCTTTTTTTCGCAAATCCATCAACCTTTGTTTTCAGTGTGTGGTGGCATTGTTTACTCTTCACCTGATAAACTGCTGTGATGACTTTACATGAGATGAGGCTCTGGGAGTTTGTTGCCCACAGTGGGAGGGAGGCTGCCATTATGAGATCTGAAGAGGCCAGGTTCAGAAGACACACATCCGTCACAGTCTTCAGCTTTATGTGTCGGAAAAGAACCCACAAAACCATGGCATTTCCTGATTAAGACAGTAGTTATAACAGTCATGAATGAACACCTGCAACAATTAAATAAGCCAGATTATAGTGCTAGGCTAGAAAGAACAAATGCTTTGTAACAAAAGGTCAAAATCATTAAATGGTCACAATAATTGACACAAATTATTAGGGAAAATTGCCACATTTAATATGGTTTTAATTTTTACAAAAATAGGTACCCACCCAGCACACCAAAAGTGAACAAAATGTAGAGAAGAGCTGGCTGAGCACTGGTGTCCTGACTAGTGTCACATGTGTAGTTGTAATCATAGTAATATTCAGTTGAGTTCATATTGATCTGAAAGAAAAACAAAACACATGCCAATGTATTTGAAGAGATGCAAATGCAACTTCAAACAACTGCATAGCACACTCAGATAGCAGGTGTCCTTTTTTAACATGTTTCAGATGTAAGATGCATGTAAGCTTTTTTTTGTCAATGTCAGTGGCAGTTCAGGCTTTCGCGTGGTTTCTGGTCTTCTTTTGTCAGGCCAAAACTGGCACACTATCAGACAGCGGTAACGTAGATAGCAACAAGAGGTATTATCATTGTGAGAATACCACATGGCCAATTCAGTCAGTGCAATTACAATTAGTATCTTTAATGTTGATTTTGAAGTTGGTACACTGTAGTTCACATAAAGGAAAAAAATAAAAATAAAAAATCCAGCAAAGGCTATTTGCTGAAACTTTTTCCCCCTTTTTGTAAAAAAAAACAAACAGCAGAGATGTTGTAATTATGCCTTCAAAGTGCATATGATAGGTTCAATGTATTTAGATACAGTTATATCATATTTATATTTCATTAAAATCTGGCCTATTATTTCCTTGCTTGTTAAGCAATTCCATTAGAACTCAGCGCTACTTCCTGTATTTAAACATTTTCTTTCAACTTTTCTTCACAAACTACCACTTAACTGATATAAATCTATGATGATTAAAGTTTACCACAGGTACTGTCCCACCAGTAAGTAAGTAGAAAAACACGAGAACCCTTAATATGCACTTTAACTGTTACTTTATTTGCCACTTAAGTTTCAGATAGTAATCCAGACATTTATCAAGATGTTTGCCATTGTATTAAAAAGATTTAGGTAATTTATAACATAATAATAGATTTTACTTTATTCTACAAAGCTTCTGAAATAATGTTCACACCAAGTTAGTATTTTTGACAGCTGATAATTACAGTGGCTTTAATTGTGAACGATCCACTCTCCAGTCTTACAGGTAAGATTGTATTCAAATATATTTTTTCAGTACTTAGTCATCCAAACCTGTCAGCACCTGGTGGAGGTCTCACCTGGGCAGTAAACCAGTATAACCACTGTATGTATTCAACCCTAACTCTAACCCAAAAGCCACATAGATTTTGCTACCCATATAATAATGTGCTTTCGTGATTACCACTAACTTTCATAAGCTGACCATAATCAAAAAGTATGATCTAAAACCACATTTTTTCACAACAGCATTAAGAATAGAAGTTAACCGCTTGCTGTGACACCCCCTAACTCACCACCGACCCCCATTTCCTGTGGGTAACACATTCGAACACCTCAAAACAAAAGCTCAGCCTTCCAGCTAGACACAAGAAATTGAGGTAATACTTTAGAATAACTGCAACTTATTTAGCCTTGATAGCTGCTGAATAAGGTAATAATTATGTGGTTACTGAGCCTGAATAACTCTTAAATCAGTGTTTGTTCATGCTTTATTAAGGCTAAATAAACTAGTTCTTACAAAGTGTTCCCGAAAATGCTTACCAGTTAGTCCCCTTAATCCTTTGTCTTTCAGCTCTTGTGGTGTGTGATAAATTTACGTCTCTATGAATTTTGCTTGGTTGGCTTTTTTGTGTGTCAAATCCTGTTGTGTTAAATGCAAGATCCACTTTGTACTTTTTTTTCTGCACCATGCTCACTGAAGGCGTGCAGTTTCTCAGAAATTACACCTGTTTGCATGAGCGAAAAGACCTTGTGTGACCTAAAATAACTATGAACACAGTTAGACCCAGGTTAAATAGATTATGCATTTCAAGAAATATCTAAACAGATTTTTTTTTAAAGGTGCACTATATAAATTGAAAGTAGTAAACTTGACATCTTCATAAAGATGTTATTTCTGGAATGTTAAACTAAGAAAACCAAAGCTCCTAGCTTACAAAACTTGACATTGTTAACAAATATATTTGACACCACAAATAGTAAGAATTCTTAAATTCAGTTTAAGTCTGTTGAAAAGTAATTTAATATAAGCAATTTTTTTTGTTTGTTTATTCTGTTCTCTAACTGTTTGTGACACCAAACTCAATCAATCATTTGCCAATTCTGCATATTTTTACAGACATAAACTCAAGAAAGGAGCAAAAATGCAGAAAAGGAGGAATACATATTCATATACTTGTACATGTACAAGCAAACATACAAGTAAGAATAAAATATACTTCAAGAAATGTATGTGCACAAATTGGCTTCCTGTGAAATGAGAACAGGAACTGAACAGTTTGAGAGGCCACATAAAGCAAAACCAATGCTGATATCTTCAAATCACATCACTGAAGTAGTGACTGATCAGGTCTGGGACCCTACTGAACTCATTCTGAATGAACTGTCAGACCTGTCTCTACTGAAGTGGGCCCATGGCAGCAGCCTCCTCAACATTTTCAGGGAGCGCTTCATAAACTTCTGCCCTGCAAAGGCGTAGATGATGGGGTTCAGAGAGCAGTGGCTGAAGGCCAGAGTCCCTGTCACTAAAATGGATAGTCTAAGGTTTGTGTCCAGTTCATAATTGTCTGTAAGTGCACCCTTAAGTCGCAAGAAATTCAGAAGTAAAGTGATGTTGTATGGAGTCCAGAAAAGAAAGAATACCACCATGATGCAGATGATGATTTTCACACTGTGGTGTTTCTGTGTACTCCTTATTTTCATCAGAGTAGGGATGATCCTGGAGTAACACACCACCATCACAGTGAAGGAAATGCAAGTCCCAGGATATTTGTTGCAAAGATGTCATATTTAATCCAAGTTAAGTCTTCTGGGCTGTGTTCACAAGCATCTTGTGGTGTGACTTGTGTGAAGATAAAGGCTGGCAGTGATACACAGACGCTCAGAGCCCACACACATGTGGACAGAACCATCCCAGTTTTCATGGAGCGGCATTTGGAGGCCTTCTGAGCATGTTGAATGAGTACATATCGATCCAGAGTCATGACCACCACAAAGAAGGAGCTGCTGTAGAAACCAACATTCTGCAGTCCTCCGCTGATGTGACACATGAAGTCTCCAAACACCCAGTGGGACACTGCACTGTAGTGAGCGTACAGAGGCAGAATGAGCAGGAACAGCAGGTCGGACACAGCCAGGTTCAACAGGCACAGGTCTGTCAGGTTGGACACACACCACCAGACCATTACCTGAGAGACACCGCAGTATAGTCAGGGAATATACTCCTAACAGAATAATAAAACTATGGATATATAAGGTTCCATATGTCACAGGAGGACTCACCTATAAACCCCAGGATGAACACCAAACTGATGGCAGCCTCAGAATTACAGGGACGTATGCTGCTGTTCTCAAAAGAGTCATAGTTATAAGCGCAGGAGATTACCAATCAATATCTATATATATATCTCTATCTATCTATCTATCTATCTATCTATCTATCTATCTATCTATCTATATCTCTATCTATCTATCTATCTATCTATATATCTATCTATCTATCTATCTATATATCTATATATCTATATATATCTATATCTATCTATATATATCTAGATAGATAGATAGATAGATATAGGTAACTGATTATTTCTTAAAACTATATATAATGATCTGCTTGTAATAAATAAAATAAAACAAAGGCAAAGGTATGACTGTTTCCAAATTTAAATTATATTAGGTCGCTTATACAGACACTGCCAAAACAAAAGTTCATTCAGCGCACCCCTTAATAGTCTTAATTGTCCGCGCGCACGCCCCAATCAGTCTTTCCTCCGCTGAATTTATTTGATCCAGAGTCACTGAATTCCCGCTCACCCCTTTAAAACAGTCTCATAAATCCCAAATTAACTATTCTTGAAACAAAACTTATCTCCAAAGGGCCGCAGCGGCGGCGCGCGCTCTCGTGCGGCGTACCTCGATCCACGCGCAAAGGAAAAATAGATGGACTGATCTCACCGGGTCGGTCTGATCTTTGGCACCGTAAACGGTGGTCCAAACCGGTACAGTCCGTTAGTGATCCATGTTACGTCCTTTCAGATCCTGAACAAGCGTCAGCGGCACAGCGGTGAGTTGGGGCGGCGTGCGCGCGCTCACACTTGTGTCCGTTTATACTATTAGGCGCGCGCGTCAGCTGACGGGGCGATCAGCTGATCGCGTAAACAACAACAGAAAAAGATCGGCCACAACACTTTATGAACAAAGAAAAATACACTTAACCATATTATGTTGCCTGGGCTACAACTTGGCATAGTGGTAGTTTCATCTGAATTTAGAACAAAAAGTATTAAAGATCCTGAGTGTTTCACAAAGTATTTAGTGCACTAAAGATCAAATAACAAAAAGACCCAAGTCACAAAGAAAGAATGAATCCTTTTGTTTTTAAATGACTTATTCTGAACATGATTTGGAAACCGTCATATGTGCTCATCTCTGTTATCTCAGTGTTGTCAATAGTATAACGCAGCAAATTATGCCCCCCACAGTGTTATTGCTAAGGTGCGTGTAACACTGCATTTAGGGCCCATATATTTTCTGATCTATGGGTTATAACGTTGTTTCCTCATCACAGACATATCTAGAGTTTTGTTTAATTTACACATGTTCAAGACACAAACCCTGCATATTTAGGCAGAGTTCCTCGCTCAAACTGAAAACACTCTGTTCCACCTTCATGGTCATGCGGTAATACAGGAAGTGCTCCACTGTGTTTTTAAAGTCCATATGGAATTGGAATTGGAATACTGAACTAAAGGTAAATGGTAGCAGTAAATTGAAAACTACCACTAGATGACATCACAAGATGGACCAGAGCATTTTGAGCTTTGGAGATGTAGACAGAGTATTCATAAAGGGTTACTCAAACATGTGTGAATAAAACAAAATACAATTCCAGATTTTTTGAGGTAATAACATCATAACATGGCGTAACACTCACAAGAGTAAATTTTGTGTAATATAGGACCTTTAACAATCGCTTGGTATATTTAAAGAGTAAATGTTAAAGTTATGAAATCTATGGTTTAAGAATGAATTTCTGTAGTCCACAACAGAAAATTGAGATTTACTTAGGTCTACACAATTAAGCAAAACAAATGTACTTGTTGAGCATAATTTAAAAAGAAAAGTTCAGATTAAATCCTTTAAAACACATGGACAAAACAGAAATGTTTTCAATGCAGATTTGAACAGTTTAAGTGTAGAGATTTATCCCTACATTGATCTTGGAAGGCTGTTCTATAGAATACAAAACATACAGTTAGTCTGCATAAAAGCTAAGGCATATTTCCCTGCTCACTATCTCTCCTGGAAAAGTATCCTTGCAGTTGGTTATTTGTTAGCAATTCCAGAATTTAGTGAAAAGAAATAATTTGGTTTATTTAAATTTTTAAATGCAAGAAATAATATGAAAAGAAACTTATACCTTTCATGATTCTGCCGGAGGATATCCTTTGAGACTTTTGGTTGCTGTTGTCTGTTGTTGGAAAGTCCTTGTGTTTGGTGATTGTAACTGTAAATATAAGTGTTATAGTAATGGATGAAAAACTGAATGTGTTATACCACAGCTCATTTTAGAAGATACACATGTTCAGTGTCCTAAATAAACACTGGGTTTCAAACATACAGGTAATGCAATTCGCATTTCAGTCCAGATTTAATAAGAACCATCATTGAGTGCTGCAGATCCTGACCTGCAAGGAGTCTTTCCTGCTAACTCTTCATTTATTAATTTTGTATCATGAATGTATAAACATGGGCCTAATGGTGATAAAATACTAGATGCATTTGCTAAATTACAAATGATTTTTGTGTTATTTGGTTATGTGGTTCAACAGTTTGCTGACCCTGTTCCCAACCACATCTGCTGACAACTCAGTGACAAGTCAACTGCAAATGGTTTAAAAATAATAATAAATGACAGTAAAGGCTACCAATAAAAATAGTAAACTTTTCATATTTCAGTGACCCTTAGTTACAAAGAATATTCATTGAGACCTGAAATATATAGGGGAATAATGACTGATTGGATAGTCACAGTTGGATGGCACTCACATGATATCACAATATTCTGAACTTCCTGAAGTTTATGGGGTTTTTTTTTTGGTTTTTTCCCAACATTTAAAAAAATTCAATTGGGTTATTTCTCGTGGAAACAGTGATAGGCTCCTGTCCTCTATCTTAAATTAAGTTATGTAATCATAAAATCCTACAATGCAAACACAACCAAATTCTATTTAAAGTAGATTTGTTTGACATTTTGCAACTACTTGAATCTAAATCTATATATTATTTGTCTACAACTGGCCTATATAGACAAGTGGTGGCACACTGGCTTTTTCTGTGGTTAGGCCACTCTACAGGCTATGTAGAAATAGTGTGCAATATACTGCTCTCTGCTGGCCCTAGACAGGAAATATAAATGGATAGCTTCAAAAGAACACCAATAGTCAGTGTGTCTGTAGTTTGAATAATGAAATGTTTATTCATTTGGAGCTCAACAGTGATTGCTCACCTCCCGGTTCTGGAAGGAAATTTCTCATTCATTTTTCCCATTAACTTTGCAAAAAATACATCAAAAATTTATCCAAACCCAGAAACTACATATTGGCTTTATTTTAATACAATACACTACTAAAATGAAAAAGTAAGATACTTTATGCCATGGAAAAATATGTACATTTAAATGTAAAAGCAAAGCAAAGTGAGTTCTCACAAAACATGCAATACCACATAACTGAGGACAGGAAGTACCCACCATGCAACACACACATAAAAAAATATTTCTTTGCGTCTCACATGACAGTGGTAGTGACTGAAGCCCGGGACCCTACTGAACTCATTCTGAATGAACTGTCAGACCTGTCTCTGCTGAAGTGGGCCCATGGCAGCAGCCTCCTCAACATTATCAGGGAGCGCTTCATGAACTTCTGCCCTGCAAAGGCGTAGATGATGGGGTTCAGACAGCAGTGGCTGAAGGCCAGAGCCCCTGTCACTAAAATGGATAATCTAAGGTTTGTGTCCAGTTCACAACTGTCTGTAAGTGCACCCTTAAGTCGCAAGAAATTCAGAAGTAAAGTGATGTTGTATGGAGTCCAGAAAAGAAAGAATACCACCATGACGCAGATGATGATCTTTACACTGCGGTGTTTCTGTGTACTCCTTATTTTCATCAGAGTAGGGATGATCCTGGAGTAACACACCACCATCACAGTGAAAGGAAGTGCAAGTCCCAGGATATTTGTTGCAAAGATGTCATATTTAATCCAAGTTAAGTCTTCTGGGCTGTGTTCACAAGCATCTTGTGGTGTGACTTGTGTGAAGATAAAGGCTGGCAGTGATACACAGACGCTCAGAGCCCACACACATGTGGACAGAACCATCCCAGTTTTCATGGAGCGGCATTTGGAGGCCTTCTGAGCATGTTGAATGAGTACATATCGATCCAGAGTCATGACCACCACAAAGAAGGAGCTGCTGTAGAAACCAACATTCTGCAGTCCTCCGCTGATGTGACACATGAAGTCTCCAAACACCCAGTGGGACACTGCACTGTAGTGAGCGTACAGAGGCAGAATGAGCAGGAACAGCAGGTCGGACACAGCCAGGTTCAACAGGCACAGGTCTGTCAGGTTGGACTTGTGAGAGTCCTTCAGCAGGACACACACCACCAGGCCATTACCTGAGAGACACCGCAGTATAGTCAGGGAATATACTCCTAACAGAATAATAAAACTATGGATATATAAGGTTCCATATGTCACAGGAGGACTCACCTATAAACCCCAGGATGAACACCAAACTGTAGAAGAGTGGTAGAAATACACTGGTGAAGTTATTGGCAGCCTCAGAATCACAGGGACGTATGCTGCTGATCTCAGAATAGTCATAGTTATAACTTGGCATAGTTGTAGTTTCACCTGAATTTAGAACAAAAAGTATTAAAGATCCTGAGTGTTTCACAAAGTATTTAGTGCACTAAAGATCAAATAATAAAAAGACCCAAGTCACAAAGAAAGAATTAATCCTTTGGTTTTTAAATGACTAATTCTGAACATGATTTGGAAACCGTCATATGTGCTCATCTCTGTTATCTCAGTGTTGTCAATAGTATAACGCAGCAAATTATGCCCCCCACAGTGTTATTGCTAAGGTGCGTGTAACACTGCATTTAGGGCCCATATATTTTCTGATCTATGGGTTATAACGTTGTTTCCTCATCACAGACATATCTAGAGTTTTGTTTAATTTACACATGTTCAAGACACAAACCCTGCATATTTAGGCAGAGTTCCTCGCTCAAACTGAAAACACTCTGTTCCACCTTCATGGTCATGCGGTAATACAGGAAGTGCTCCACTGTGTTTTTAAAGTCCATATGGAATTGGAATTGGAATACTGAACTAAAGGTAAATGGTAGCAGTAAATTGAAAACTACCACTAGATGACATCACAAGATGGACCAGAGCATTTTGAGCTTTGGAGATGTAGACAGAGTATTCATAAAGGGTTACTCAAACATGTGTGAATAAAACAAAATACAATTCCATATTATTATTTTTTTTTTTTTTCTTTTGTGAGTTATTAACATCAGAACATGGCATAAAGCTCATAAGAGTCAATTTTGTGTAATATAGGACGTTTAACAAAAACAACAAAATTAGATAATATAGAGAGACTTAATTCAATATGGTATCATATAAATTGAGTAAGTTCATATACTGGGTTATCAAAAATAAAACCTGGGAATAAGAAATCCAAAACTGATCAACGCTGCTTTTGGAGTTAGTGGTTGCCCCAGGGAAGAAAATGCAGGCTACTTCAGATTTGTACTCTTGGTATATTTAAAGAGTAAATGTTAAAGTTCTGAAATCTACGGTTTAAGAATGAATTTATGTAGTCCACAACAGAAAATGGAGATTTACTTAGGTCTATACAATTAAGCAAAACAAATTTACTTTTTGAGCATAATTTAAAAAGAAACGTTCAGATAAAATCCTTTAAAACAGATGGACAACTAAACAGAAATGTTTTCAATGCAGATTGCAATGCAAATGTAATGCAAATAGAGATTTATCCCTACATTGATCTTGGAAGGCTGTTCTATAGAATACAAAATGTATAGTTAGTTTGCATAAAAGCTAAGGCATATTTCTCTGCTCACTATCTCTCCTGGAAAAGTATCCTTGCCGTTCATTATTTGTTATCAATTCCAGAATTTAGTGAAAATAAATAATTTAGTTGATTTAAATTCTAAATGCCAAAAAACAATATAAAAAACAACTTTTGAACTATCCATTATACCTGTCATGATTCAGCCGCTGGTTATCCTTTGAGACTTTTGGGTGCTGTTGTCTGTTGTTGGAAAGTCGTTGTGTTTAGTGATTGTAACTGTAAATATAAGTGTTATAGTAACAGGCGAAATTTGCAGATGTGACAGTGTTATTTCCAGGCTGCATGTGTTATATACCACAGCTCATTTTAGAAGATACACATGTTCAGTGTCCTAAATAAACACTGGGTTTCACACATACAGCTATTGCAATTCACATTTCAGTCCAAATTTAATAAGAACCATCACTGAGTGCTGCAGACCCTGACCTGCAAGGAGTCTTTCCTGCTAACTCTTCATTTATTAATTTTGTATCATGAATGTATAAACATGGGCCTAATGGTGATAAAATACTAGATGCATTTGCTAAATTACAAATGATTTTTGTGTTATTTGGTTATGTGGTTCAACAGTTTGCTGACCCTGTTCCCAACCACATCTGCTGACAACTCAGTGACAAGTCAACTGCAAATGGTTTAAAAATAATAATAAATGACAGTAAAGGCTACCAATAAAAATAGTAAACTTTTCATATTTCAGTGACCCTTAGTTACAAAGAATATTCATTGAGACCTGAAATATATAGGGGAATAATGACTGATTGGATAGTCACAGTTGGATGGCACTCACATGATATCACAATATTCTGAACTTCCTGAAGTTTATGGGGTTTTTTTTTTGGTTTTTTCCCAACATTTAAAAAAATTCAATTGGGTTATTTCTCGTGGAAACAGTGATAGGCTCCTGTCCTCTATCTTAAATTAAGTTATGTAATCATAAAATCCTACAATGCAAACACAACCAAATTCTATTAAAAGTAGATTTGTTTGACATTTTGCAACTACTTGAATCTAAATCTATATATTATTTGTCTACAACTGGCCTATATAGACAAGTGGTGGCACACTGGCTTTTTCTGTGGTTAGGCCACTCTACAGGCTATGTAGAAATAGTGTGCAATATACTGCTCTCTGCTGGCCCTAGACAGGAAATATAAATGGATAGCTTCAAAAGAACACCAATAGTCAGTGTGTCTGTAGTTTGAATAATGAAATGTTTATTCATTTGGAGCTCAACAGTGATTGCTCACCTCCCGGTTCTGGAAGGAAATTTCTCATTCATTTTTCCCATTAACTTTGCAAAAAATACATCAAAAATTTATCCAAACCCAGAAACTACATATTGGCTTTATTTTAATACAATACACTACTAAAATGAAAAAGTAAGATACTTTATGCCATGGAAAAATATGTACATTTAAATGTAAAAGCAAAGCAAAGTGAGTTCTCACAAAACATGCAATACCACATAACTGAGGACAGGAAGTACCCACCATGCAACACACACATAAAAAAATATTTCTTTGCGTCTCACATGACAGTGGTAGTGACTGAAGCCCGGGACCCTACTGAACTCATTCTGAATGAACTGTCAGACCTGTCTCTGCTGAAGTGGGCCCATGGCAGCAGCCTCCTCAACATTTTCAGGGAGCGCTTCATGAACTTCTGCCCTGCAAAGGCGTTGATGATGGGGTTCAGACAGCAGTGGCTGAAGGCCAGAGTCCCTGTCACTAAAATGGATAATCTAAGGTTTGTGTCCAGTTCACAACTGTCTGTAAGTGCACCCTTAAGTCGCAAGAAATTCAGAAGTAAAGTGATGTTGTATGGAGTCCAGAAAAGAAAGAATACCACCATGACGCAGATGATGATCTTCACACTGCGGTGTTTCTGTGTACTCCTTATTTTCATCAGAGTAGGGATGATCCTGGAGTAACACACCACCATCACAGTGAAAGGAAGTGCAAGTCCCAGGATATTTGTTGCAAAGATGTCATATTTAATCCAAGTTAAGTCTTCTGGGCTGTGTTCACAAGCATCTTGTGGTGTGACTTGTGTGAAGATAAAGGCTGGCAGTGATACACAGACGCTCAGAGCCCACACACATGTGGACAGAACCATCCCAGTTTTCATGGAGCGGCATTTGGAGGCCTTCTGAGCATGTTGAATGAGTACATATCGATCCAGTGAGTCATGACCACCACAAAGAAGGAGCACCAACATTCTGCAGTGCTGATGTGACACAGCACAGGTTCAACAGGCACAGGTCTGTCAGGTTGGACACACACCACCAGACCATTACCTGAGAGACACCGCAGTATAGTCAGGGAATATACTCCTAACAGAATAATAAAACTATGGATATATAAGGTTCCATATGTCACAGGAGGACTCACCTATAAACCCCAGTGTTACGGCCCCAGGCCTTAGTTGTAATATTTCTGCAGAGTTCTCTTGATTCCTGCTGCAGGAGTCCTGGTCTGTGATTGGTGGGGCAAGTCGACGCCCACCTCACCTGCAGCCACCTCCCCCTATTTAAGGAGATTGCCAGCACCTGTTTGGGGCTGCTGGCCTTGGTGGCCAGTATGCCATTTTGGTTTCGTGTATGTGTGTTAGTCTCATTCTGTTTTGTGCCTTTTTTTGATTTGGTCACTCGATTCTGTTTGTGGGCTTATGTGGTTTAATTTGGGGAACTTGTGTTTTAGTTTAGTGTGTGTCCCTAAGTTTACCACTCGTTTTTGTGTAAGCCTGCGTGACCCCTTTTCTGGCACAAAACTCTGTTTATTCTGTTGTTCTGTTTCTTAGTTTAGGTTGTTTTCTGTATATTTTTTAGTGTTTTGTTAATTTACCTTTACATTCCTGTTAATTAAACATTACTTAATTTATTCCATTTTACATCTTGGTTTTATTTTTGTTACTTCCCTCACCCCAAACGAGCTGGGTCGTAACACCCAGGATGAACACCAAACTGTAGAAGAGTGGTAGAAATACACTGGTGAAGTTATTGGCAGCCTCAGAATCACAGGGACGTATGCTGCTGATCTCAGAATAGTCATAGTTATAACTTGGAATAGTTGTAGTTTCATCTGAATTTAGAACAAAAAGTATTAAAGATCCTGAGTGTTTCACAAAGTATTTAGTGCACTAAAGATCAAATAACAAAAAGACCCAAGTCGCAAAGAAAAAAATAATCCTTTGGTTTTTAAATGACTAATTCTGAACATGATTTGGAAACCGTCATATGTGCTCATCTCTGTTATCTCAGTGTTGTCAATAGTATAACACAGCAAATTATGCCCCCCACAGTGTTATTGCTAAGGTGCGTGTAACACTGCATTTAGGGCCCATATATTTTCTGATCTATGGGTGATAACGTTGTTTCCTCATCACAGACATATCTAGAGTTTTGTTTAATTTACACATGTTCAAGACACAAACCCTGCATATTTAGGCAGAGTTCCTCGCTCAAACTGAAAACACTCTGTTCCACCTTCATGGTCATGCGGTAATACAGGAAGTGCTCCACTGTGTTTTTAAAGTCCATATGGAATTGGAATTGGAATACTGAACTAAAGGTAAATGGTAGCAGTAAATTGAAAACTACCACTAGATGACATCACAAGATGGACCAGAGCATTTTGAGCTTTGGAGATGTAGACAGAGTATTCATAAAGGGTTACTCAAACATGTGTGAATAAAACAAAATACAATTCCATATTATTATTTTTTGTCTTTTTTTTCTTTTGTGAGTTATTAACATCAGAACATGGCATAAAGCTCATAAGAGTCAATTTTGTGTAATATAGGATGTTTAACAAAAACAACAAAATTAGATAATATAGAGAGACTTAATTCAATATGGTATCATATAAATTGAGTAAGTTCATATACTGGGTTATCAAAAATAAAACCTGGGAATAAGAAATAAAATAAAACACAATTCCAGATTTTTTTTTACCTGAAAGACACCGGAGTATATATTCAGAGGAAATGGATTATAAACAATATCATATCCGATACATCTCATGACACTCAACCACAAATCCAAGGATGAAGATCAAATTGTAGAGAAATGGTAAAAACTATTTTCCAAAGTTACTCAATGACTCAACTCAACAAGGAGTCATACTCGGTTGTGTTCCCTGAAAATAATAGGTGGTGTTCCCTGAATAAAATACAACAGTAAAAGTCTTAGCAATTTACAAGAACTTATGAGAAACACAATCATTAACCAGAATAACCATGTAAGAGTGATTGCCAAAATAGTCACCTGCCATAGCTGACTGAGCGTGATCTCGTGTTATTGACCACCAAGTAGCTCCCGGTTCTGAAAGAAAAAAGTAAATCAAATCTTTCAATGAGAAGTGCTGTCAGTCTCTATAATGAGTGACACAGCACAGAGACACAATGCTGATGTTATTTCCTGTAAGGCCTTAATTGAGATTCTATCAGAGCCTTATCGGAAACCCACATCTCATTTGCAAAACGAAACCAAACTGCATGAGAACCCACCAATGTTCATTGGAAAATGTTGGGGAAATCACAGCTAGACTGACTAATGGGAAAAGGCTAAAGAATCACAATATAGCCTAAATGATGATGTATAGGCTTAAAGGTATAAACCTTATTAATCCTCAATAACAGTATTATGCATATTAATGTACACAACCACATTGAAACCTTTCTGTTTATTATACAAATTGATTCTTGATTGCTTGGCAATCTGGAAGGATATCTCTCTGTATTAATTTTACAGATCCATATCAGCCACTGGTACAGTGATGAATCTGGATTTTTCCAGGTATCATTGTGACATTAAAAAAAAAAAATAATAATAACCTTTTTAACTTGAACATTTTTACCAATCCATCTTAAATTACTTTTTAAGTGTCTTTCAAAACAAAGCATTTGGCTTGTCCAATGTGATTGTGATGGGATTAATAATTATATATTGTAATACTTAATCAAGGGCATCTTATGCTGCAATTGGTTAGAAGTGTGGCCTAATCTACACTTATACACATGCTGTTTCATTGATCTGTTCTCATTAAGCCTACCTACACAACAGAAGTCCAACATTGGCTGCCCACACAAATTGAATAACAGAAATGTTCACGTTCACCTGGCGTTAAAAAAGTTCATTGGGATGTTTAGCTGAGGTCGGCTGAGATCAAGCTGTTTAGCCTGTGGACATTATTATACTTCCATGGTTTTGCCTTATCAACATCAAACAAACAATCAAATGTCCATAAGTGATTCACTAAATACAAAAATGCTGTCGCTGTGTCTTTTAGCAAAACACCTAACCCCTCTTGTCTGCATACAGTATTGTATAAATGTGTGTGTTTCTCTCTCTGTATGTGTGTGTCTGTGTGCGTGAATAGGTTAGTACTCGGTCCCTTGATGCACTTTGAATGCTTTAAAGGTAGAAAAGAGCTATATAAAAGCCACCATTTATACAGATAAATACGGACAAAACGACGCTCCGCCTGTTGTATCTCATCGCGAATGGGGGCTATCTTAAAATGTAGATGTCCAAAAACAAAATGTGAAGTAAAACAATACGTGCTGTTCACTGGCCTTCTATTTGTCTTATATTTTGAAAATCCACACCGGAACTCCAAGCCTACATTTGCGCTACACGCTCGGCTCAAAGCGGTTTATGGCCAAGGGAGGAACGCAAAGATTATATCAAGTGGATTTGTCAGATGACTAGACCAAACATGAACATGTGTCCTTTAGACTAGTTTGAATAAGGTAAATGCAAACCATCTCCATCTCACGTGTTATAGCGAACTTTTGCGGAAACTTTTGCTGTTTTTTGCGTCAGGTAAAGTCGAGTGTCATCTTTGCGCCTGCGTCTGTCACTTGTTGCTTATCCTATTAATGACTATACTATTTCGTACCGTTAGTCAGCGTAGCTAGAATAAACGCCATAGCCCACAAACAAGAATATTTTAAGGTGTGTTTTCTTTGGTATTTTACTTTTTTTTTGTTGGCTCGTCGATCGCAGGTGGCATGGAGAAGACGCGGATTTGAGGGCTGCAGCGGATTAAGGGGAGCTGATTTTGTTTAACACCACTTTTATTTACCCCGATGATGGACGCCAAACCTCCTTTAGGGTAAGTCTACTTTTGGCAAGTGTTTTAATTCGTTTACACACCTTTTTATGTTTTCCTAGGAGCTACTAATAGAGTTAGTAAAGTAGAGTAGAGTAAGCTCCTTGTTGAGTGAGGGGCAAAGGTACGCAGCAGAGATTGAGCTATCGTGTTTTCTTTACCGTTTAATACCATAGTTTTAAGGATTTTTATTTCCAATCTAGGTTGTACTAGGATTTCCCAAAACAGTAAAACGGATCCCCAGTATTGTCCCTTGCCAACAGAGAGATTGTTCCAGTAGCTAGAGGTGAAAAAAACAGCAACAAAAAAACAAAAAACAAACAAAACGTGTCCTTGTTTAACTAAATGACGACCATAAAATAATGTCATAGTACTTCCTAGATAAAAATAATGCAACAAGAACAATGCCGACCTCTATAGTTCTTATTAATGTAATTATATTATTTAAAAACAAAATATTATCCCATCCATCTTTTAAAAGATAATAGCTGCTACTTTGCATTGTTCACAGAGAAATGGCATATAAGCAATGTTACAGTTTTGTAATAGTTTATTAATAAGCCTCCGCTGTTGTTTACATAGTTATATAACTCTGCATGACTGGCTATGTATAAGACTACAATAGGGACTGATGTGTGTCACATTTTGACCAAGCATTCAATTAATCAGCATAAAGAGCACCTTTACAACAATGACAAAACCAGGTAGTATCTTGAATAAATGGTGTGCAATGAGACTGGACTTCTGTCTTGATGGAGTGAATTAGAGCTTTCCCAAGTAAAGGTCATATAAATCAGATAGCCTTAAATACAGTGATTTCAGACACTCAAGAGCCTTTTGGCCAAATTACAAAGTGGACCAGTCAAAGTGCCTGTTGGCAGTGCAGCCAGAAGTGCTCTTTCCGGTCAGTGGGTGACATTTCTGTCTGTAGAAGAACCTCCTTACTCTTTGTTATTGGACATCACTAAAATATGTAAACATTCAATAACAATATTGAAGATTGTGATATTGATATAATAACATTAAGGCTGTATTAATCAAATACTCACCCGTTATAATTGCAGAGGAATACTAGTACAGTAACATCCACATTGTAACAATTGTCCAACAATTGTAGATAAATCCAAAGTTAAAGATACAAGTAAGGGCTGTTACAAGACTGATTTTATTGGTGTAATATGTGTCAGACTTTAAAAAGGTGTTGTATTGTATAGATTTTCTTATTTGAACAGATTTGATGAAGTTATACCTTGATCATTAGATTATGAAATAACCAGAATTAGCATAGAATTTTACACATATTTATTCTTAGACAGATGGTATATTGTTAGTCCAGCAGTTAAAATGTGTCATTGTGTTTCCTAACTGTCTGTTGCTGGCTACACAAATGGCTTTGGTTTTATTATTCACTACTATATCCTTGTACCGATTTTTAAGTTGTATTTCACTGCAGAGTTATAGACTAATTAAATAAATGAGGGTGGTGTCATATGAGCTCTGAGCCAATTTGACTCTTTAAAGGGGAAACTTTTTCTCTTCATCAAAGATTTTTACAGCTGCAGTCAGATAGCAGCTGTTCCCAAGTGACGATCAGCAATCCACAGAAATACACTTGTTATCTCCTCACGTGATTTCCTTACTTCATACAATTTGTTCATTTTGACGTAATCTTAAAAGAACAGTTTTTAGAACAAATTTCAAATCACTGCTGCTGGTATATCTAGCCACACCCAATGATAATTACAAGCTGCTAAATGTTCTGTTGGTGCCCGCCTTCTTCTGTTCTCTGAGAATTGTATACAGGAGGTAGAGTAGACCACCATTATTTAAACATCCGACGCGTTTCCCTTTTTTTCAAAACAAAACACCGCAGGACAGACAGTAAAATGTTATTTTATTGTTTGCACTTTCTCTAAGGATCACTGGATATTATATATACGCCCTACACACAATCTGCTATATTTAAGTTTCAATGGGTTTTGCTTTCAGTGTGGGCCTGCTGACTAAGGGAGAGTTCTCTTTTTTCCTTTCTGCTTGAGGTTGAGAGAAAAATGTTTTATCGTATGTGGCACTCACATCTGGATATTTAGGGTGAAGTTGTTATGATGACAGATCTAAATTTAACTGAAATATGAGAGAGCTGGTAGAGAGAGAGAATTTGAGGCCATGTGTTGTTGGCAGCAGTACTGTATATATCTAGTCAGCTCTACATTCACAGACCATCCCGTTTTAGAGAGGGGTGTGGAATAGATGCATTGCTTCCATAGACAAGTTAAAGCTACAGGAGAAGGAGCAGCAACACACTAAATACAAAATAAATTGCTTTAACCTTTGGTCAAGCTCCTGAGTTTAATAGGAATCATGTAATAGCAGAGGCATGTCACAAGATTGACTGATAAGATAGTATCTGTTGCTGTAATGTTTTGAATGATTAACAGTAGAGTCAGTGAAGTTACTGTGTGGTGTCCAGCTGTGAGTGTGATGTGACACACCAAGTCTAACATCAAAAGTGTGCACAAAAATTCTGATTTTATTTTTTTGGCCATATTGCCCAGCCCTACATTCTCCTTTTGCCATGATTTCTTCTTTTAAATCATGAGGAACCAGTTTTTATTAACTTAACTGCTATTTTTCTGTCACAGTCACAAGTGAACAGCATTATTTATAGAGAAAAGATTAGACATGGAGCCTTCGTTTGTTGTTCCTGTATTGTGGATGCTCTAAAAACACTCAGCATTTGTAAGCAACGTTAATTAATCCCGATGTGTAACATTTCATTTAGCAGCTGAGGACCAGTGCCCTTCATTTCCCTGGGTACATTATGTTGCGTTTACATTCACCACCCTTTGTAAAAAGATGCTGCAAAGGATTAGCAGTGAAAAAAACTAAATATTTTCATAATTATCTTGTACCTAACAAATCATTATTGAGTTTTAAATAAATGGTGGTGCATTTCTAACAATTCATCTTTTTAACCTTAACCTTAATATAATATATATATATATATATATATATATATATATATATATATATATATATATATATATATATATATATATTATATATATATATATTTATTTATTTATTTATTTTTTTTTTTTTTTTTGTGTTCACTTATCAGTTTTACTTGCCAGGGATCCACAATACACACACCTTATGAAAATGTGAATCTAGCTGACTCTCCCCAATCAGGGGCAACTATGGTCTGTCCTTATCAAAGAGCCTGGCTCAAGGCACCACCAAGGGAGTGGGTACTAGACTGATATCCCTTGGGATTATAAGTACAGAGATCATTCAGACAACAGTTTTACATTGCAACAAGAAAAACTGACCATGGAGGTGGACTTTTGGAAACTGTTTAAGAGATTCCTTTCCTTACTTGACTTGCTTTCTGCCCAGAGTTTGTGGCGCACCCTCTCTGTTGGCATCAGTGTCCACAGCTGTTACTAAAACCAAAGCTGTGTGGCGCTCCAGACTGGAGAGGTGTAAATATAGGTTTCCAAGGGGACACCATGACAGCCATGGACATGCTTACAATAACGCATGTGTCACTGGGAGTGGCTTGCGGTCCCGGATCTCTCTGTCACTCAATAGGTTCAATGAACAACAGGCTCGAAGTCAAGTGCAAACCACTGTGCCAGTGAAGTGTGCTTTAGGCCCAGAGTATGGCCAAGCTTTGAAGTGCTATTCAACTACAGAACATTGTTTCTTGATGGGGCATTGTTTTTTGTAGTAACTAACAAATGATGTATATATCATTATATAGGGCATGTGTCCGTCTCAAAGTAAATAATCAATATGCAAAGTTGAAATAATTTTACTAGATAACTGTATTTATAATACATAAAATAACTATTAACCTCAGCACAGCAGACTGCCTCGTGTTAGAAGTAGATGTACACTGGATGATTTCTGTGGGATGTTGACTTATATTACCAGACACAGAGTATGACACAGACTTTTTCTGTTGTCTGTCATCAAAGGCTATAAGCTGGTCTTATGATGATTAACACACACCACGAGTCTGTCCCCTGACACTATGATTCAACAAGCTATAAAATTAGCTCTCTTTTACCCTGTCCTGAAACACTCTATAAGTTTTAATATTAGGCTCAGAGAAAGAATCCTGCCCTTGTTAGTATTGTGAAGTGGAGTGAAAGAATTGGGTGTCTCTGAGAGCACCATTAGTAACCTCCGTGTGTATGTGTAACCCAGTCTGGCTGGCTGTCCTGCTTTACTGCCCCCCTGTGACCGACCAAGGCGCTGTGTTTCGGCTTCCTACATTCAGAATCTGTGGGAGCCTGAATTTTCGTAAAGGCTTCTTTGTGCCAGCAAGGATAGAAGAGTGAGGGACACTGAAAAGCAGGGGAGAGGAAGAGGAGTATACTAGCTGACTGTGCTCAAACTAACCTTCACACAGTCTAGCCTTGTGTGCCCCTGACATACAGAGATCTCTGCAGTTCGTAATGTCATGCACCTGTTGTTTTTAAGTAGACTTATTTAAAATTGTCAAACCACACTTTTAAAGCAATGCTAGAGGTGCTATTGCATGCCCTGCCTTGTTCTTTATATAACCTACCGATGACAATCTTTTCAACTGAGAAACAGCCCGGTATGCTGAGGCAAAACAGCACCGGCTGCTTACTTATCTCAATCCTCTACTTATCAGCTACCATTCTAATTAGTAAAGTATTTTTTGCTTGTGCTTGAAGATGTGCTTCTTGCCTGTGAAAAGAATTGCATAATATGTCCATGACACTATAGTTTGTTAATATTTAACTTGAGTCAGGGTTAGAGTTCAGTTATTGAGCTACATTCTTATGTTTTTTTCCTTACAGTTGTTGTTCACTGGGCTGTGGTTACCTGTATGTACACCTATGGATTGTAAACTTACAGGCTCTCTTACCCTATCATTGCAAATGACTTTGTCTGTAAACAGAGTGACATTGAGTGCTTCAGGAACACTTCACATAAGGGCCGTAAGTGAGAATGTTTTACTTTTGTTATCGGAGGTTCATGTTTGTTTTTGAGTCTGAGAGAAAGGGCACAGGGAAAGTTTGGAAAATCATTTATCATGTTAGCAGGGTAAATAGTAAAAAAATATAAAATGTATATATAAACATAAAATGCTATACTTCTTTTTATAAAGAAGAAAATAAGCATCCAGAAACAAATTTTGTTTTACAAACATTAGACATATTTGCTCTTTGCTACTATAGCTATATTTTTTAATTTAATGTTACCAAAAAGAGAGATAATAGGTAAACAATCTATGAGCTTGATGCTTAGAGTTTAATTATTTGATATATCCACTCAGAGTTCTTGCTTTAAGAAGAGATTCTCACTTAAAGTGCATTTAACAGGTTTTTCTAATAATTGGTTTGGTTGAATCGTTCCTGTGGTCAATGTTTATCATACTTATACATCAGTCAAGTGGCAGATTGTGGAAAAAAGTTGAGAAAAAAAGTCTGAAAATACAGGAAGTTGCAGTGAGTTACTTTTGTCATCTGTACAGTACAATCCCACAGTTGTCCAGGTATGATCCAAAGCAAGAAGCTTCTGTTGTTCTTCATTTCTGAACTGAAGAGCCACTTGGATGAGCGGCAGAACATAAAAAGATCTCTAAAATCTTTTGTCCAGTTGACATTAGCATGTAAAACTCCATCCAAAATGCCAGAGCAATTTATGAGCAGGGAATACATTTTTCTGACGGACTAAACATTGATTAAAAAAAAAAAAAATGGCATTGTGATTTATTCTTATCACAATATCAAATATTTGTGGTACCATTATTGTGAGATGAAACATCCCATTTTAAAATTCTTTTAATTCCAAATATATGACTATCTTAATTGTGACATTCCTAGAAAGGTGACCGCGTTCACAGTGTGCATGTTTTACAAGGCATTTTCTTTTTACAGTAAAAACATCTATTATTGAATAAAAACAAGATAGATACTGTATGTTTAATGCCGTATGAAGATAAGTGTGTGACCTTCCCTCTACAATAAGTCATGTGCACATTTTAATTTGCACTGTTTATGGGAAAATCTAGGTAAATAGATGACATTTCAGTAATAACCTAAAAAAAAAAAGCGCTTTTCTTTCTGCCTTTCTGTCCAGGAAAAGGATGAAACCACGTGCCCCACCTCCTCCTCAGGTACCGCAGCCTGCCCCACGGCGTATCTTCAGAAGTGCTGACTCTCTGGACGAGGTCACTGTTAGAGACATGAAGGAGAACATGCTGAGTCACTGTGTGGAGCTGCGGCTGACTCTGCCCACCGGATTTCAGACCACTGTCACTGAGGACGGCAGGTGAGTCCAGGGCAGATTGACAGAGCACCCCCTAAAGGGTTTACCCCCTCCACTGGTGAGCAATGCAGTCTCAATGCAACAAGATCCTAGGTTTGATTCCCCTTCCACTAAAAACATTCTAGGGTCCCCTTCGAGCCAAAACCAAAATGAGATTCTAAATGTCAGTGGGGCTATTTTGTTTAAATCACAAATAAACTGTATATGAGCCAGAGTTCATCCCTGTACTGTGTGGGACAAAGCTTGTGCTGACCACAGGGACATGCCTGTGAGCTAGACCCCACTAGCAAAGCAACACTGGCAAACCCAGAATGAAAAAAGATGTTATAATAGATGAGTAACATGATGTGTGAATAAGGCCAGCGGAATTCTGAAATGGGAAAGGGTGACTGATATTCCATAGAAAATATAAAATGAACACAATTTATATATTTTTTTTCTAGTAAGAACTGGTGGGATAACACTTGTGGTAAATGTCTTAGTTGCAGTTTGTGAGGAATAGTGCACTTAACCCTCCTCATTCCCCGACTGGTGCTCTTTCTTGGCTCCATGGAGATTGCTATTCCAGTGGAGCCAAGTTCTGGTAAATTGACTTTTAAATTACTGGAAGTTGCCCTGAGTCCTAAAACATTTATCAAGGATTTATCAATGCATGAGGCATATGCATTATATGCAAATGATAAGGGCAAAAGTGAGGGGTGCACGATGACATTTGCAGCTGAATGTGTCTGATTATGAACAGCTTATAGTGCAAAAGACTCTGGAAACATTTTGGAATCAAAAAAGATGCTCCTTATCCCATAAGCTTTTAATCTTATTTTTGGTCGATCTGACACTTATCCTTGGAATTACAAGCACAACCAGCTGATGAACTAATATGTCCTTATATTTAATAATGGAAATTACTGTGTATGTCTCTCTCTTCACATTTCCATCAGCAACATGAGGCCAGTTGACAAAAGTTTAGGTGTTAGTATTTCTGTCCACAGTCTAGTGTGAGGCTGCAGCTCACAGACTGTGCGCTGGACTGGAGGTGGAGGGCCGAAGCAGAGCGCATGGAGGCAGCAGAGAGCTGGGAACCAATGTTACAAGATGTGGACACAAGTTGTATGCATGTGTACAACACAGGTTACGTCAACTATGCAGCTGCTACAAGTGTTTTTATAATAAATAATTACCATATTTGAGAAAAGGAGCCTACAGTCATAATATATGATAATGACAGTTGTATGTTTAAATGACAGACATTTACTACTGAAAAAGTGAGAGATTTGACAAAATATAATTATGCCGTGCTATGTTCCAGATAACCTGCTTATGCACTAACATTGATGGCTTTTCTGTGACCATTTTGCCTAAATTCTACTGCCAGGTCTTGAATAGTGGCCTTTGTATTGGCACCTCTATCTGACATATGATCTGCTGGTTCCCAGAAAATAGTCCAGTTTTTTTTTTTGCTCTGACCAGTAATTCTTTAGCACATCTCACAGAAGCCTCTTCTATACACATACAGTTGTTGCTATTTATTATTAAACCAAAAATACATTTTGACATTTCATGAGATTTTTAACATGTAGAGTTGGCGTACAATGACTACATTGTATGAAGTCATTACACCCACTTCCTTTACTCAAGCTTAAGATAGTTAGGTGTTGTAATCCAATCTTGTGTCTCTTTTCCTCTGTGTAGCTGTTCACGTGAGTGGTTTGTTCATCCTATCTCCCTCCCTCTCTTTCTCTGTGTCTTTCCCTCCTTCACTTTCTCTCCCTCAGTCATTTTATGTTCCTCTTTCAGCAAAGCGCTGATGGACGTTCTGGTCGAGCTGTGCAGCCGTTACCACCTGAACCCCTCACTACACACTCTGGATCTATTCACACCTGAGGGCCACCCTTTGGGCTTCAAGCCCAATGCGCTGCTGGGGTCCCTCAATGTTGCCTGTGTCCTCATCAAGGAGAAAGTACTGGAGGAGAGACAAGTACGCCGACCTGCACCCAAAGTGCCTGAAGTGAGTTTCACTGGACCTTCACACATGATCAGCTGCTTTGGAAATCTTCATTTTGCTGGCATACTTGTTTTCACTGGATGTGTGACTAGATGTTTTTGTATAGATTAAGAAACTTTATTAAGCCTGTTGCATAAAGTAAAACACAATGTAACCATATAGTTTGATTTGCATGTGGCACGTGTGCTAGTTTTACAAATTAGCTCATTGCCTTATATATCAGTCCCTCACAATGGCTTGCCATTCAACACTGGTAGAAAGCACATCTGAAACCTCTCAGAGCCCACTTAAAGGTAGGAGGCCACTTGGATTCACACAGTAAATGTTTTGTTCGTCCTTTTCTGTCTTTAACATATACTATTGTCTTATATATTTCACTCATTAGTTTTGTCGTTTCAGTTCTCTTCCTGCACTTTAAATATTTGATGAGGGGCTTACCTTTAGTTACCATGCATTATTTCTCTGCTCCTCTCAGGGCTCACTGGCTGCTCTGTCCCTTTAACCCTGTCTGGCCAGAGGCCAGAGACTGACACAGTTTCAGATGCTGCTGTCAGTCATTCAGCTCTTGTCTTTTACTTCATCTCTCATAAAGAATAGTTTTAAAATACAGAAATCTTGTTTTACATTTAAGTGTACTTACTGACTATTCAAGAAAAAATACTTGTTTTGTATGTTCAAGAACATTGCTGTTTTTTGCCATGTTCCCTTTACATAAAAAATGCTGTTTTGATTCATGATTTCTATATATTGGGGTTATTGGCGCATAGATGGCTCTATGTCCCCTTAATGAAGTATTGCCTAAGAATTGTATTGCTATCGTAGCATTTCTTAAAATACAGTTGTTAAAGTGTTAACTTATGTCTTTTCAGAAAACAGTGCGTTTGCTGGTGAATTATCATGGCAGTCAGAAGGCAGTGGTGCGGGTGAACCCGCTGTTGCCACTGCAGGATCTCGTACCTGTCATCTGTGACAAGTGTGAATTTGATCCAGCTCTCATCGTGCTCCTAAAGGACAGCATCGGTCGCCAAGAGTTACCACTAGACAAGTCTCTGTCCCATCTGGGAATCAAGGAGCTTTATGTGAACGACAAAGTCTAGGTAACGGCTGTTATTTAATGTTTATGACTTATATTACTGCAGCACGTTACTAGAATTCAATACATAATTAGAGCTTTCTTGATTTTTTTGTTTATTCTATTCCTTTAACAGCCAATATGCAAACTGGACAAATTTGTTCTATTAAATGTGTATCTCAAAATAGTTATATATAGTAATATTATAAGTGTCCTTATTGTTTTTATTATTTTTCCAGTCCTCCAGCCTAAAATGGCTTCGGCACCTGCCCTTAATTATTCAGGTATATTAGTGCATCTATGCTACTAACAATGAAACATGTTCAGTGTCATGCATGTTTGGTTGCTTCACTAAACACCCTGTAGTCTTTTTAAACTAATTGACTAACCTGAATATATCTTCTCTTCCCAAACAGTATCAACCTCACTAATTATAGTTTGTGCAAAAAATAAAATAAAATGATGGTAGCACCCGAACTTGTAAGCAGTAGCGCCCTCTCCTGGGTGCTGGGTTTTATACTAGATAAATTATAGCACAAAAGAAATTATTAGACAGCAGACCTCAATAACATTCTTTGTCCTGTAGTTAATGTATTATTTAATGAATAAATGAAATGTTCTTATGTCATTTTTTGGGTTACATCTCAACTATAGACTCCCTGCGCTCTAGTACAAACAGTTTGGCCAGAGCAGAGAAGAAAGGTCTCCTGGGTATCTTTCAGTTCAGCAGGAGAAAATCTAAGGTAACATTTTTGAATGGTGTGAATGTTCATGATTTATGCATTTAGTTACAATAAAGAAGTTCAAACTGTCAAACTGTTTTGTTTTTTTTGGTTTTTTTTTTAGTTTTTTTTAGTTTAACATTTTAGTAGTTTAACATTTGTGAAACATGAAATGACTGACTGACTGCATGGCCAACTAAATGAATGCTGCTTGTGTTGTGCCTTGCTTTTGCAGACAGAGACAACATCTCTGGACATGGAGGATTACAATGACACAGAGGCACATTCTAATGTAAGCATACTATTTATTACTACTGATGTTAGAAACAAATGAATGAAAATTAGTACATTTTTATGCTTAGCTGCAGCATAAATTAAGCTCAAATTTATTTCATAGAAATACCACATGGATGCAAAAAAATGTAATTTACAAGCATCCCAGTCTTGATTGACTACTTAATCAAATTGAATGTTCAGCAAGAGCGTTTTGCAGTAACCCTGACATCCTCTTGGTGGCAGCAGTTCTTAGTTAAGCAGTAATTTTCTCTGAAGGAAATTACTTATTAGGATATATGAAAATTTCATTTATTACAACCTCATCAGCTTCAGTTTGTGCAGTGGACAATGATCTTTATAGCTTTAATGAAAATGTACTTTTGTTTCACTTACCATATTCTGATATTTTTTTCACACTGTGAGTTGCCATGTTGAGGCGTGCAAATTTTTTTGTTTACTCTACGTATACTACACAACTTCATCTTGTGAATATGTTTAAGAGTAAGCAGCTCTTTTATCATATGTCACCTAAATGCATTAACCCTCTCAAATTGTGCTGTTTCTAACAAGCAATTTTTCATCCAAAGTACAGATTCATCCTCCTATATTAGCAACATAATTAGAGGTTCTACAATATGAATTTGATTATGGATCCTCAAAACTGCAGCATCATTCATCTTCAACCCTAATTCAGATGATGTGAAAACCAAATGTTACAATTATATTTCATTGTTGTTCATTTTTAAGTAAACCATTTAATGTCCAACCTCATTAGGCCACAACAAGCCTGTTTGAACTGCATAAGTCCCAGCCATGAATAAATAGAGAGAACTATGAAAATGTATCAAGCCAGTCTTAATCACTACACTACACTACAGTTGTAGTCTGTAGTGTTTAACATAATGTTACCCTTATTATTTGAATAATATGGATTGACATCTGTGCACAACACAAACTAACAGACAATGCTTATACAGACTTATCAGCATGTAGGCTCAGATTGCTCCTAATTATCACTAAAAGTTGTCCTTTAATAGCTCTTTTACTTCAGTGTGTGTGGTCTTAAATTAACAACATTTTGTTCTAAATGGATTTTTGTGCATGTTACTGATAAATGTTGTGGTGATTCATATATAGAGAATATATTTAAATATTTAATTATTGCTACTCAGCCATATTAGATTCCAGTGCTTTTAATGCTAAATATGTACAGTCAGTTTAAAAATGTGCATGTTTAGTGAACATGTATTTCTTAGTTTACTGTATCACCCCAACTGTCCACAGTAATAATCCTCTATATGGATTCTGTAAATTTTCTGGTCTTTCCCTACTGTGAGATGTTCTAACCATGGATCCAATTAATTTCAGTGCCCTGAACTCTCTTTCCCTCCTTGCTCTGCCTTTATGCTGCATTGTTGCATTGTCTAAATGCATCAATTATTCGGCTTTTAATTACTTTTCTTGGGATCCTGCGGGTGTGAGGAATGGACTGTCTGGTTCCCATGTCCATAGTACTGGAAAGCCGCTTATTAAATGTGATGTTTGAATATGTACTTACTCATTCCTGATTCATATTTTGTCATCTTCAGGCCATGTCTACCATGTTTGGGCCACAGTATGTTGAAGAGCGGCCTCACATGAGCCAGTCACAGTCAGCCATGAACATCTCAAGGACATCTCCTAAAGCTGAGGCAAAGAAGAGGAGAGCCCCCGCTCCACCTGGAGTCCCTACTCACTCTACTGAACACTTAAGCTATGATGCAAATCAGGTAAGATGTCAATATCAGTCCCAAATATTTTTTAAATGCAGGTTTGCGCTTTTTTTCCACCTTCAAATTTGTAAGATTCAGAGTGTAACTGTGTGGTGTATGAGTCCAAACCCCCCTTCTTAATGAAAGTTGGAGCTATGTGAAAAATTTGAGCCCATGCTGTGATTGACCTGACATAGTGGAACAACTCCTGTGGCAGTCTTTGCTCTGCATGTTTTGACCTAAATTTCAGCACCTCAAGGTCAGGGTGACCTGTATTGTCTACATTAAAAGAACAGCTCCCCACAGTCTCATTATAGTGTTATGGTGGCATTCTGGGAAATGGTGTTTAGCAACTAACCCCTCCCTCTCTGATAATGTCTGGAATAGCTTTTGTTTATTTGTCCTTCCTTAATTAAGAAAAGTGAACTGAGGATACAGGGGCAGAAAACAAGATACAAGAGGGTGTCCAGCTACTGCGTTATTTTGGGAGCTGCAAGTATCTCAACTTTGATGGCAGTGTTTCTTAGTTGGGAGCCAGATTTTTGACAATGTGACATTTACGTGACAGTGGTGGTGTTATCATGCAGGAATATTGTTTTAATACATGGGCATGTTTTGTAGATAATGTAGTGACTAGATTGTGTGTTTGGTGGCGTGAGAGCAGCTTCATGAACAGGAGAGGAAGGTCATCTGAGGACGTTCTCTACTGATATTAGATCCCTGTTCCTCGCCATGTGCCTTCTCTGAACTCTGACTTGGTTTGGACACAGTTCTGCATGTCCACACAGGTCAGACTATGCTGTGCTGCAGAGCTCTTCATGACAGTTATTTTTACAACAAGGACATTACGGTCACACTCATGTCTTCTCTGCAAGTTTATTTATAGCCTAGCTTAGGTTAAACATTTCCTATGTGTTTTACATTAACATAGGAAATATTGCAAAAATTCATACAAGTAGAAACTTTAAATGGCCTTTGTCATATTGATTAACAAAACTATGTCAATGTTTTGTAATTTCTTAAGCATTTTTTAAAGGACACAGAAACTTGTGAAAAACACACAGAGCATCAACACAGATTTATGAATTGACTCATATAGTCATATACAGTAAGGATAGCTAGTCTTCAATATGGTAAACATATTCATAATCAAAAATTAAACTGAAGATTTCCTAAAGATCGAGACAAAATACATGAATAATGGATAATGATTTTGAATTAATGAACCATGTTTAGATTGTTGAGGATTATTTCCCATAATGTTATAAAGTTATAATTTAGTTCTATCCCTGAAGGTAATGCAGTTATAATAATACATTTTTAGAAACTATATACAAATATGTCTTGCATTTTCTTGCATCTTTAAACTCAGAAACTAAATAGTTATGTTTTCTTCATTCTGCCAACCAGCAGGCTGTGTCTGCTTTCATGAGAGTTGCACTAAAATGTTTTGGAACATTTAGTTCAGAGAAACACAACCTACTTTTCCCAAATGCGATAGGAAATCTGTTATTGTGGTTTGGAAAGGAAGCCATGGCTGCATGGCCAATTTTGATTAAAGAAAACATGTAACAGTCTTCTCTGCTAATTCAGATTTTAAGTGTGTTCTCTCAACAAGTACATGTACAAAGTATGCTAGAATCAATAATGTCATCCCATGTCATGACAGAAGTTCAAGTTGGAGTCTAAAATGAGTTCTGAAATTTGGTTTTGAATGGTTTGACATGAATGTTGTACAGAGGTCTTGTTTCCAAAAGGGCAGTATAGCATGAAATCTTGTTGGCATGCCCTCATCCTCACCTTCTGGGAACGACCTAAGATGATAAATACTCAAGGATGAGCCCCGTTGTTCAGTTAAGTTCAGTTAAGTTCTGCAGACATTTGAAGGAGAAGCTGTTCTAATAGTAGGCTACATATATGGGTCAAGGTATTTTAAACATGAGTGATTAACGTTACTCTAAACACAGTTATTCATGCTGTGTCGTCAGGGACAGTTTTGAAGATATGTAGTTCTATGATAAGCATCCTGACATTATTAACTTCAAATTCTTATTCTGTTAATGAAAAAAGTCTGTAAATGTTATAAATGCATAGTTATCTCTTGGGTGTAATAAACAGAAAAAAACAAAATGGAAATTCCTGGTAAAAACATATTTTAGTGGGTTAGTTGGACAAGTAAATGACAACGAAAGTGGGTCATGAATGCGTCTCCTTATCCTCAGCTAGCCTTCTAGACCCCTCCTGCAGACACATTGTTAACATAAAGTGCTTTTATCATCCATGCTTTCACATCCACACATGTTCATTATTACACACAATACACCCAACACACGCTAATTGTGTGGCAGGCTACTGTTGGATGTTTTTGACCTCAGTGCTCTCTCAGTGTTGAGACATATCAGGCACTATTATTATCTGTGACATGCACATACGTACACATATAGACACGCATGTATGCATGGATGTACTCATGCATGCTGACAAACAGTAGCACACAGCCACACTGTACCCATACACACACAGCATCTCACATTCCACATTAGCATTGTAATGTCGTCTTGTTTCGAAGCCCCTCACCCATCAAGAGCTCTTGAAAACAACTGATGAATAGTCACGCCACCAGGTTGAGGCCTCCATGGGTGGCCCTATCTGATCAACATGCTCCAACATGGGGCCCTAATGTGGCTGAGGAAAACTTAATGGGCACACCAGAGTGTCCTGGCATGGCCTTCTGTTAGTGTGATTAGGATGGCTTATTGCCTGAAATTCAAAGCACGCCATTCTAAAATAAGTAGTACAAGACTGAACATTGTTCATTATCTGTACCTGCTTATTCAAGTGCACAAATTATATTTGTTGCAACAAAATCTCCTATATTTATAAACCAAGAAGATTTATTTTAAGGTTTTCTTATCTTATCTTCACTATAATTTTAATTCAAAATGTAAAAATTGTATTAAGTAGACTAACTTTGCCAATTAATCAATGCAAATTGTTAACTTGTAAAAATACATTTCCTACTAAATACAATCTGACCACAAATGTTTTACAGAAGAAAATCTTGAGTTATGGTTTCAGGGTTTGGCTGGAGTTTTAAATACCAGTTGCGCTCCCAGTAATGGCACCAATAAGCCTAGGAGAGCTACACACACTTAACCCACAACCTCTAACAAGCCCCTAATCCAAGCTCCCGCCCCAGCGCAGATATGAGATATACTGTTTCACTGTGTGTGGAGACATACAGTCAGTCACACTGCAGAGGCCACAGCCCTGTTCTTTTCATAGCAGGGCTCTACTGCAGGCTTATGTTTCGCTCTAAGGAGAACACACACACAAGTTTAGCCACACAATTGCATGAACATAACACACACTCTCCTATCTATTTTGTTTCTTTATTGGCTCCTCACCCATTTCATTTTCAACTTTGGCCCACATCCACTTGTGTATCTGCGCTCATATATGTATGAAAGCCAGTGAGGGAGTAAAGCAGGAGAGAAATACAACCTGTCAGGGGGTCTTTTGTATTTTCAGAGCATGTCATGCAGTGAGTTCAGTGAGTTCACTTGTGTGAACTCAGCTCGTCTGCTCTTGTCCTGCTGCACGGAGCAACTCTGCATGGCCCTCTAGGCATGTTGATGTGAAGTTGGACTCTTCTTGTAGGACTACTTTCACTTTTGTGAATTCCATTTATCATGTGTTTCATTGCTTTCTTTTTTATAACTAGTAATTATCACTTTGAATTTGTATTAGATAATTAGCTGAAGATTAATAAATAGTTCATAATAGGTAATTTGTTCATTTGCAAAATGTTACTGCACACCAGTCTGTAAAAATTGTTTCTTCATGGTCATAGACATTTATTAGAATTAAGGAAGAGAACATCTGCAAACTCTCTTGGCTTCACCACTTTATACTTTTGATTTGATTCGTCTGATGTAAATTTAACTGTCACTGGTTCTGTTATTCCATCAGATGAGTCTTGGCACAGACACTCAGCAAAGGAAAAGGAAAGCTCCTGTCCCACCCCCAACACCAGTTTCTCTTTCTTCTGGCTCTGAGGACATCTCTGCCACTGCCACACCTGTCAGCCAACACATCCAAGCCCCCACCCCAGTGGAAGAATCAACCACCTTCACCACCACCACTGTAGTAATAGAAGATATGACACCAGTCACAGTGCAATCTGCTGTATGCTTTAACAGTCTTGACCTCAGATCTTCTACACCAAGCAGTACCAACTCCGATAGCCTCGCTGTCCAAGACTCCAGCTCTGAACTCAGCCAAAGCCTTGAAGAATCTGATGCTGCTTCTCACTGTAGCATTACCACTGGCAGCTCTGTTAGAGGACTTGCTCATGCCCAGGCCATAACAAAAGGCTCAATTTCCAGAACAGAGAAGTCAGAAAGTACCACCAACATATCGGCAAGTGATGTGACTACAGCCAGTAGCTCCAGGTCTGACACAGAGTCAGCTATCAACCTTAAAATGGAGGAAACTGACAATAACAGGCACAGTGGAGTTGGTAAGTACAATATAATGTTACTTACAGTTTCAGGGAAAAATGGCTGTTGATCAATTCATAAAGTAAACACATGATAATAGATTTGACACACAGTATATCAAAAGTTTTGATTTGGACTTAATTGTCATTTTACTGTATGTTTGTCCACACAAATCAATGATATGCTGTTTCTTATCAGTTGACACAGTGCATCAGCATTTACATTAATAATAAATTGAAAAGTCTAGATAAAAATATTTAAAAATTACTAGTGCACACTCACATAACACATAATTTAGGCACTTTATTGGATGCTGTTCTGTGACAATGACTAGAAGTTGAAATAAACAAACAAACAAAAACAAAACAATAATTGTGAATCCTAGTCAATTTAATGAAATCATTTTAAATGAAATTACTGCTGACACTGACACAAAATTTCCACTGTAGTCCCATTTGTATGGCAGCTGCTTGTACAATAAGATCACATATTTTGCACTGAATGTTTTAGTTTTTTAAGTAGTTATTTTAAATGTATATTGGATTATTTTTCTTGATAAATAGTGTCCTGCACTTGTATCGCACTTTTTGAGACTGAGGAACATGAAAAGTCAAAATGACATACAGCCTTATGAAACACTGTGGGTGTGTATAAAATCATGGTTGAGGGATAAAAAAACAAGAAGAACAGGCCTATGGGACAACGCAGACTCTGTCTCTCACCCACACTTTTTACTATCCTGTTCTTAAAGACAAATTTTTACTTTTAAAAAAACATTTTAAAGATGGATTACATACATTTAATGGAGACTTGTGCAGCAGCAGGTTGAACTCTAGTTGGCCTCATATTGATCTTTATACAACCCACATCTTTCTGTTGAAGAAGGGTGGGATTGCGGCATGGGGCTGTCATGTCTGACAAGAGATGAGAAGGTTGTGAAGCTCAAAGAAATGCATAAATGGAGGAGGGACGAAACACCAGGACTGTGTTTAAAAAAGGCAGAATGAGTATGGGCTTGACATGTTTGAAGCGAACTTGACTTGTAGCAGAGGGACTTGATTGACAGCTAGATGAAGGTTAGAAAGACAGTGTGTTAGACACAAGGTAGCACCAAGCTCCAAGATCATGGTTGTTAATACTGAACATGTTGCTGTGAAGTTTTGCACTTTCCCCCCATAAGTAACTTAGTATTTCCTCGTACGGCTCTCACTACTACTTTTTTTTTACTGAACAAGTGTGCTTTTTTGTTTTACATGCAGTTGATGCAGTGGATTTTCTGCCTGGTAACAGTATAAGTGAACGTCAGGGCTCAACAAATGCTCATTCTAAATTTAGTGTACACTGTTGTTTAAGGCTTGTGTATACAGTTAAACTTTTATTCATTTCTTTCCACCTTAGTTTAGCAGTAAGTATAAAATAAGAACTTTATACTGACTAACTCTCTATCTTCAGGTTTTTCTCCTCTTTTCAAAGAGTTCTTGTTGGATGCATGCATAGACAATCATTTGCACTCTCTTTTTCAGCAATCTGTGCCCTAATTACGTCACTTTCTTTTTAAGCAGACAGAGTGCTTCATATCTGTGTCAATCCAAAAAGCCATGTTGCTTATGATACAAAAGGTCAGGGCTGGGTCAACACCAATCAACTTATACTGCTTATTATGTTACAATGATAATGCTTTTGTGTAATGGATAGATTGTTGAGTCACAGTACTGTTCTGTGAATGTTTTTTTTTTTTTTCTGTGCTGATGCTCTCCACTAAATTGGTTCAAATCTCATTACATTGTGTTTTATCTTTTGGTACCCTCCCAGTGTACTGCTGTGGGCCTGTGCGACTGAGAGCCAAACGCCCCTGAAGTCCTCTTGTGGCTTGACCTCTTCCTTCTTCATCTGTTTTTCCTTTGCTTATTTTATTTTTCTTTCAGTGTACTATTCTTTTATTCCTGTGTTGTTTTAAGATCTCTTTGCATATAGCCAATAGCCTAGCCCTAGTTTCAGAATTCAGAATTCAGAATTTCATGCTAAAAGAGTAAATCTTCTGCTAAGTGTTCTTTCTTTTGTTGTGTAGCTAATTCTTCTTTCTTTGCATTTACTGTTTTATCAGCCCTTTGTTATTTTTTTCACAATGATTGCTTAGTTAACAATGTGGTACCAGGAGGAAAGATAGAAAGTAGTAACAAGAATGTCCTGATGAGTTGAATGTATCAGTTTCCAAGATGATTGATGAATGACATGAGGGTAAATGAGCCTATGAGGCAAGGCAATGTGATATCTGCAGATCAATACTGGTGCTATATGATATCTGTGGATCAATAGTCCAAGACATATGTTTCTCTCAATGCTAGAGCAAGAGTCAGCATTTAGAAACCCTAACCGCCCTGCCTTTGCCAGCATTATGAAAGGCATACTCCATCAATGACATTTTGGTTTTTACGTTTTGCAGTCTGTCTAATTTAATTCTTAAAGTAATAATTCTCATACAAGACATATGTATCTAGAGAAAATATAAAGAAAATGTTTATATTATATTTTAAAAGATGAGAAATGTCATGTGTCATTAAGATATCAGTGTGAGGTCATGTTAGAACAAGCAAGATAATATTTTTTAATACATTGTTTGAGCTTTTGTAAGTCTTTTATGGAACAGTTTACCATTAAAATCAGGCAAATCTGTAAAAAAAATAAAAAAAAATAAATAAATGTATATTGTGATTTGTAGATATGTATGGGTTGTGAAAAAAATGCTTTTTAGTTTGTAATGATGCGTTCAACAGTACCGTTCAACAGTACCGTGTGACTAGGTCATAGGTTGAGTAAACTGTGTGTAAATATTGCTTGTGATTTTGGCCTGTTGTGCATGACAACATCAAGTGGTGCACGTGTGCAATTGTGCGTCTCTGTGTGCATATTGTGGCTGTAGCTGGCATGACTAAGCTGTTGCTGGGAAGGAGTTGGGAGGACAGCCCTGTGAGTCATCACCACATCTCCTGGAACTCACTGTTCCTTCCAAACCATTAGGACCAGTCCCAAAACTGACAGGCCCTGTTTACACATACCAACAACACAGACGCTGAAGGACAATGAATGAATTCTGTCAGATGCACTTTGTGCAGCTAAGATTATCAGCACTACAAAAACCTATTAACCTAATGGGTGGGATGTCCAAATCATGTGTGCCAAAACAAACCATGCAATGATGCTGTTATAGTCTGAAAGGGAAATCAGTGCCAGAAAAAAGTTCTGCATGAACCACATGACTGCCCAGAGCATGAGTGTATTCTGGAGATGAGAAGAGATTTGTCACTTCATTTTAAATCACTATTGTTAAACCCTAATTAGAAAGATTTGTTTACAGTAAATCTGCCCACACATCATTACACCACTTTATCTAGCCACAAGTGGGCTGGTTCTGGCCTCTTATTTTATTTTTTATAACCTAAATTATTGTGATTTTCTGCATTTGGAACAAGTCTATTTTTTTCTGCTTTTTTCTCATCCCTTTTGCTTGCCTTGCATTACATGTTGCATTACATGTTGCATTACATGTTGCATTACATGTTGCATTACATGTTGTCTTTCTTAATATGCTTAATGTGTAGTGATGGTTTTGAGAATTTATCATTACATTTTATACCCATTGCATGCATACCATGACTTGGTGTGTGGGTTATTCATCTATTAATTGACTGTATTACATATGCAGTTGCTGATCTCTTGCAGCCTGGCTCCACTCCATGCAAAGCTCTGCAGCCAAAGGTCACTGTAAAGAGATATCTCCAGAGGAAACAGTGTCTTTGGGCAGTAATAGCAGTGGCATGAGTTTGCCAGACCAGGGCTATGCTGCCTCTGAAGGTCTGGCTGATGGAGAAGACTCTGGCTTGGTTAGCTCCCCCTCTGAGACCCACACCACATCCCCAGATGGGAGTCTGTCTCTGGATGGAAGTGCGGGAGGAGAGAGACGCATGGGAACAGCCATGGACAATTGTAGTGACAGCGATGAAGAGTCCTGGGGGTCTCGGCACAGGTATGAATAACATATATCAGTGTAAATAAAACAATAAAGCAACAGCAAGAACATAAAAAGTCAATAATACAAATGAAAAGCATATAACAGTGTTAAATTACCATTTGGACTCATATTTAAAACATCTGTAACATTTGCAAATGTAGATTTATTGACCCGGGGGCAATGACTCATTTACTACCTTTCCTGTTAATCTATCTAGTATTCTGCTTCCCAGAATTTCTTCATTCTTAATTTAATTGTGATTTATCTTTTTACGTGTTCCTTGTTATTTCTCAGACTTTAGTGTTTGCAGCAGGTTACCTTAAGTGTAAAGTTAACTAATGGAAATTGTGTTTAAATTAGGATCAATAATAATGATTAAACTCATTGTGTTTAGAATATTTTATCATCCTTGACAGCAGCTGCTGCCTTATGCTATGTCTGGTTGGCAGCCCTAGTTTAAAACAACATCATATTCACACTCCTCCATGCAAATGATACCTTACCCAGTTGATATGGTTGCCAAGAAAATTGTATTGGCTTGCACTGTGCTGCTTGCTTTTTGGTTTTCCAGGAACTCACTAGAACCCTGTTTTCTGAGTATCATTCCCAAAATGTGGAGCAGACCAAGGCTTTTTTGAATAAGGAACTATTTGGTTTGGCCCTCTTACGGCAATTTGTTTTAGGCAAAACACCAATCCTTCACATGAACACTCTTGTGAACCTTTGAGCAGCGTGACGGAAGTTGAAAGTGTGGTAATAAAATCTTCACAGCTGAATGTTATGAAAGACTTAAGACTCCAATGAAAATAATATGAGCCATATTTATTTTAGAGTAATTCCACTGCACTTACCCCTTGGTTTTTTTGCGGACAGTTATTGACGGGAAGGTTGTTGGAATGCAATACTGGAATCAAATAAACACTTAGGAACAGCTGTTATGTTGTAACTTTATAAAAATAGCTTTGGCTTCTTCACTCAGTGCCCTTTACACGCACTGTGAGAGTTTACTCTCTAGTACTTTTAAATGTACATGTATTTGTTATGTCAACAGAAGAAGTGACATTACGCCACACCCCAGAGCAGACAGGCTCAAGCATCAAGATCTGTCCGCTCAGCTTCATCAGACTTTGGCGGATTTGGAGTCATGTCTCGCAGACAGTAATGAGGTCCCAGTTTCTATAGTGGACCATGATGTGCCAGTCACAACTATAGATGAAGTCGTGCCAGATGAGGGATTTTGGGCTGAGTCAGTTGTCGCCAATGGTACAGTATTAAGTCTCGTATATGTTAAAATCTTATTGACTCTTATTGATTTATTATTTTTTATTGTCTTCAGCTTCAAGCTACAGTGATGAGCTTCAAAACAGAAACAATAATGCTCACACAGCTGATGAGACTAATAAGAGTTACAGCACAGAAAGTAAACAGCTTTCTCAACATAAGCAAAAGTCTATGCATGAACCATCTAAAACACATAAGAAGAAAGACACTATCAAGGAATTAAAAGCAAAAGAAATAAAAAAGTCAGAGGCAGCTGTTCAGTATAAATCATCCTCTGAAGCAAAATCTAATTGTCAAGAGCAAAAGGACAATAATAAAAGTGATGTTAAACCTGAGGAGAAGAGTATCCACCAAGCTGCTCTGTCACAAGGGAATCAAGAAGCTGTTAATTTGCCCAGAGTTCACCACATTATATCCACTTCTAAACCTTTTCAGAGTAAAATCACTCCCAATGTCACCTCACGTTTTGGGATGAAGACTTTTACAGTTGTTCCCCCTAAACCAGCTGTCTTACATGCTGCTGCAGGACAACTCGCCTCTACAACCCCTGGTGCCATAAAGATTGACGAACAAGGGAACATGGTAACGGTGTCCCATCGTAGAACTCCTGATGTATCAGAGTTGAGAAACGGCCATGATTTTCCTCTTCATGGAAAAGCCACAGCCTTCTGGAGCTCAAATGAAAAGCAAGAAGATGCCGTGCGCCCAAATAAAGTCCAGGCTGATAAGGCAAAAGACAGTTTGGATAGCCATAGACGTGTTGGGACAAAAACCTCTGAAACAACCCAGAGGTCCACTGAAACAGGGAGTTGGAAAACTTCCCAAGGGACACATAATAAATCCACCCTGAAAACAGAGTCCAAAGAGACTGCTGAAGATGCTGCTGAACAAACAGAAGATATTGACACTAAACAAAAGCATAACACAATGGCAGAAGACAAGTTATCAACAGCTATCTCCTCAAGTCAGAGACCTGCACAACCTCCATTTCTAACAGATGTGAGGAGAGACCTGACTTTCCTTAAGCCATCCAGAAGAACCTCCAGCCAATATGTTGCATCAGCTATCACAAAATATGCCCCCAAAACAAACATCAAACCTGATTATAACCCCACAACTCAGGAATTTCCCCCCAAAACACAAAATACTGGCTATCAAAAATCAGGCAGATCAATGCAAATCAATCCTCAACACTCATTCCACTCGAGCAGTTCAAGTTTTACATCCAGCCCCTCTGGTCCGAAGAGGTCCGTTAGTTACCCTGAATATATAACATACAGACAAGGAGATGGCGCTGATGATGTGAAGGAGGCAGGAATTTCAGAAAAGAAATTTGAATCTGGAAAGGGAAGCTTTAGGATACAAGAAACACAAAAATCATCCAATAAGCAATCGGTTTCCTCAACACAATTAAATGTTAAAGTTAGTGGTACATTCAAATCTGTTCAGCGCCGAAGTCCAAGTCCATCTCCTAGCCGCCCTCAGTGCTCATCAGATGAACCACCTACAGGACTGAAAAATGGACACCAAGAGCAGGCATTGGTGAGTGGCTTTGATTTTTCCATTAAAGGTGCACTATGCAACTTTTCTGGTGGAAGGTGGAGATACTGTTACTTTGTATGGAAAGTTCTGCAGTATGTAATTAAACTTAACTAACTCCATGAGACAAGAAGATTATGGCCCAGGCAAAGATCAAATCTGTGGACAGGCAATCCCAGTCATTGTAAGAAAGTAAGAGGTATTTTTTTGGAAGCACTTTAAATGAGCAAATGCCCTACAGTTACAGGTGATGTCATACTGTGGAACATTCCAGGCAAACCAGTAACATCTATAAAAACATATCCTTGTATCCTTGGTAACATATTGCACCTTCAAATAAAGCTAAATATGTAAAAAAAAAAAAAAAAAGCTTAAGAAAATATTACATTTTACCAAAACATAACATTTGTTAATTCTTATTTTAGAATAATCCAGTCACTATCCCGTCTCCAAACTCCAAAACAGACGAGGCCCCTTCAGTTACAGTAACAGACAGTGAGGCGACCGCCGAGCCTCCAGCGGTGACAGTGTTTGGGCCAGTGAAGAAGTTCAAACCGGTCATCTGCAGATCAGTGGAGAAGGAAACATCTCTACACAGCAGTCTGATGGAGGCCATACAGAGTGGAGGGGGCAAAGAAAGACTCAAAAAGGTGGGAGATGACATGACCATGACAATATAATATGTGTTAATAAAATAAAAATGAATACATCACCTGATATTAACATTTCATTATATCGCCAAAGTCTTGTAGCAAAAATATTTTAGCCAGATATGATATTTTTCATATGTATTAATGTTTTAATAAACTATTAATATTACTTGGTAAATTGGTAATATATCTGGCTGTTTTTGGTCACTGACATGATGACATCCAACTGTTGTTTATTTAATAAAAAACAGGAGATATGGTGAATGCTTCAATGGGCCTCTTGTGAGTCAGATAGAAGGATGTAAGACACTGGTGCTTTTTAAAGATGAGGCTGTCTTGTGTACAAAAATGACATGGACTTGGGTTTGATTATTTACTTCACTTGTACAACACTGGTAAGAAGTAATTGGTGCTTTTTGTGAGCTGATGTAAATTTAAATGTGTTTATTTCAATGACAACAGAAATGCTACTTACATTTACATTGACATAAGTGATTTTTTTTTGTTTTTTTTGTGTTGATAGATTTCCACCTCTGGGGCAAACCTCAAGAAACCATCTTATGTTGAGGAGGAGAATGAGAGATCTGCTTTAATGGCAGCCATTAGAGCCCAGGGCAACTCCGGGAGGCTTAGAAAGGTAAAATACTCTGAGCTATTTATACAGAGCACAGCACCATGTCTGTCAATCCTAAGTGAGTGTGAGAAAGATAAAACCAGGCGCACCATGTTCAACTATGAATGTTTACTTTATTTACTTACCGATAGTCACATGTGAAGAGCGATTCAATCATGCCTATGCTAAAGATGGTGAGCCTTTCAGTAGACTTGATCAAGGCTATGAAAGCTGGTGTGGTTGCATGCTCACAAAATGTGCAGCTGTAGCAACATCTGTGATTCTATTCTGGAGGGCTATTTTTTTCGGAACAGGAATTTCTGGAATGTCCCTAGACTAAAAATATTTCAAAAACCATGCAGGATCAATAGCCAAAAAATGTTAATATTAGATTTATTTATTTATGCATAGAAAGCAGCTAAATCAAAAATAAAATCAAATAATGTTATTTGCTAGTAATATTTTATAATTTTCACTGCAAATATTGTAGTAATTGTTAGATCATCACACTAAAATTAAAACCACTTATGTAAGCTTTGTAGATAGATTATCTGTCCTTTGAAACTATTAATTGCTGAATTTATATTAAAGGGTCTATATTACTCAATTTTCCTATCTGTTAATGTTTCTTATGATGTTTCCTCATCACAAACATACCTGGAGCTGTTTTGTTTCATTCACATACCACCCCTGCATATTTGGACCAAGTTCTTCTCTCAAACAGAAAACACTCCACTGTGCTTTTAAACTCCATACAGCTTCACTAGAATCATTTGGATGATTTCAGCCCTTGAATTGCCAGTCTCTGCTGAACTAAATGTAAAAGGTAGCTTTTAACTTGAAAAATACCACTTCATGACATCACAAGGTGGAACAGAGCATTTAGAGCTTTGGGGATGTAGACAGACTAATAGTAAAAGATTACTTATCACACACATGTTTGAAGTAAACAAAATACAACTTCAGATATGTTTTTGAGGAGGTAACATGGGTTACCACTCACAGGAGTCAGTTTTGTGTAATATAGGATATTTAAACTGTTGACAATATCAATATAACATAACATAAAAAAATAAATTAGAATAGAAATATAAAAATAAATACTATTTGGGTTACTTGGGTTATGTGTAGTGTGTTATTATTTTTCATTTATCTTTATTTAGACCAAATCTGAAGCTGCTGGAGAGCTGGAAAACTTCAGAAAGACTGCCCTGCATGTGAACAGCAGTGCCCAGATTTCTTCAGCACCATCTTCTTCCCAATCCTCCTCAGTATCTTCACCTCCTACACCCATAGTGGCACCTCCACCACCCCCACCCATCCTACCAACACCAAAACCTTTCACCTTGTCACAACCAAGTATGAACTCAGCCATGGCGAGGGAGGCCATGCTGGAGGCTATCCGCTCTGGATCAGCAGCAGAGAAGCTAAAAAAGGTACAAACATTTTCTGTTCTGTGTTTGTGTCTGTACTTTTTATATTTAAATAGAACACACTTGGGGGAATTCCACTACCATCAAATATAAATGTTCTGTTTGGCAGCTTTGCTTTTAAACTTTTGCAAAAGCAGAAAATATAGTAAATAAAAATAGAGTAGTGGTAGTAGTGTAGTGAACGGTGTAAATAAGTTGGTATCATTGTGCTTGTGGGGCTTGATCAAAACAGCAGCAGAAAAACATAGCAGACAGATAAAGGAGCGTGCACACATATACAGTGGAAGAGCCCAGATCCGTACAGAGATACTCTAGTGACATGAGACAAGCTTCTCCTCCTTTGTTCCCCTGTCTTGTTCTAAGAGATCATAGGGAGAACAAAGATTGCCTGCACGGCGGCAGCTTGCAAACTCTAAATGAACTCCAGACTGTGAGCATCATACTGTATCAGAAAGTTCAAATTCAGGTTAAGGCCTGTTTCAAATTACTTACTAGAAATTGATATTAATGTTTTGATTACATAAAACATTTAAAATCAATCAGTTTGTGTGCTATTAGGCACGTGTTTCCCTGTCCCCTGTGCCTGTCCCTTGACCATTTAGAAAGCTCCAGGATGCTTCTTTTGTGACTCACCTCCAACCACAGGTTCCTCAAAGTAAAAAAAAAATGCTGCCATTACTACCAGAAGAACTGAAGACACTAGTGTTAAATGTATTTTATTAACATAACGTTACCAAAAATATTTATGCTAGATACAGGAAACCACAACCACCTCAAACAGTTCTCTTAATCTTTACAATTGCAGACATGCACCCAATGGTAACACATAATGGACATACTTAATCTAGTATGCCTATCAATCTATAATACATCTTTCTAGATCTTTGCTTTTATCTTTAGTTTATTTAGTTTATTTGACAGGGACCTTGTACAGGAGCATTAAATAAAGAAACATTGAAGAGATACTTCGTATCAGGCTGTAGTTCTCGTAGCTATTTCCATCTACAGTTCCTGAGACAGACAAAACATAGAATACAAAAATAGCATAAACAAAGCAATCTATACACAAACAAAAGTACAGTGACGTTAAATATGTCTCAAACCCATTCACACCCTGCTCCTCTGTGCCGTTGATCAGGTATAATTTAGTTATTTAATGTTGGCACTTCTGTGTTCTTAAAAAATGTGTTCTTAATTCAGCACTAAACTTTTTGAAATCTTTGCATAGTTTCAAATGGGCTAGTAATTTGTTCCATTCTGTTATAGTTTTAAAAGAGAATGCTCATTGATATAGAGCTGTTTATCTTTTAGATATGCTACACTGGCCACAGCGTGTGGACCTTGTAGTTCTGGTCATCTGTTCAGTTGTTAATGTGACAATCCTTTTGAGTGGTGGCAAACCTTTTGAGTGGTGGTGAATTATTAACAAATCTTGAACAACAATCGCAAATTTCCAAATTGAATCATGTTTCCCAAGCTTGGCATTTTATGCCTGTCACTTATTTTACAGTGGTGATATTTTCTATTTTCTATTGAGGATCCTAAGTGCTTGTTTGTAGAGAGATTCCAGGGGTTTGATTGTCATCTTATTTGCTTGTGACCAACATGAAGTAACATAATTTAAATGAGAAAATGTGGGTGAAGGGCTTAAGACTTGGGCCAACTAGCTTTTACTATAGGTGGGAGATGACATAATATAATATGTGTTAATAAAATAAAAATGAATACATCATACTGTAGACATTAAAATGTTTTGAATATATAGAACAAGTACACGAATTTGGCATACTAATAGCCATGATTTGACTTTATTCCAAACCCTGTTTATGATGCATTCACCCTGTGGCTTAGATCAGCATCAAAACCAGACTATAGATATGCAATCATGACGTGTTGTGTCTCCCTATAGGTCGCTGTGCCCGCAAAGACAGTCCAAGTGAACGGGAAACTGGGAACAATCAAGGCAACATCCTCCACCATGTAGTAGTTTAGAAAGACACTACTTATCACCTCTAATTTTATGTTTTTGTTCTTGTGAAAGAAGTGACTCAAGCACATGCTGATGATGTAAACCTGGGGGACAACAGAGGATAAGGGTCAATGCAGTAAAAGTTAACCATGCTGAACCCACTTTTGCCAAATGCATCATATTATATTCTTTACATCATTTTCTGGACACATCTTGCCATGCGTACTTGAATTGATTGAAATTGGAGCAGTGCTAAAAGTGCCATTGAACAAGGGATTTTTTAAGTCACAAGATATTTTATAAGAAACCTTATACTGTTGCACAAGCAGTGTTATATTGGTGGCATGGTTGAATGGTTGATTTGTGAAAACTTAATGGAGTGCAATATTTGAATATGAAGGTTTTTTAGTTTGATTTGAAGAAGTTTGTGTTGATTTGAAACTAGATGGAAGGCAATTTTTGATTGACGATGCCATTCTGTACAGTTTTACGTGTGGTTTCAAAGACAACAGTGCCTGATACTTTATTTCTTTTATCTTCACCTTCAAGCTGCTGCTTTTACAAAAAAAAAAAAATTAGTACACCTTACATACACCTTACCTTTTTTAATGCCTTTTAACATATTTAAAAATAAATCATTGATACCACCTAAGACAGAAAGCTCATTAACGTCAAAACAGTTGTGAAGAAGAGCACTATATTAACACTATTGCCCATAATTATTATTTGTTGTATTACAGATGGATAGGCCTTCTGTTATGGTGGCTAATGCATTTATAAGATAGAAAAAAATATATATTAAAGTTGTGTTTGAAATCATAACTTAAATAAAAAAGCACAATTACTTAAATGTCTATAGTTGTTTATTCTATGTTCTTTTAGGAACAGTTTTTGCTGAAATTAAACTGAATCACTTTCTACTGATGCCTTGAGCATATTGTAGCACTGTATATATTGTAAAGATGACTACATTTGAATCAGAGTTTTATAGCAGCTCTTCCACTAACACTATTGAGATTAAAAGTGCATATTGTTTAACTAAAATGCTGTACATTGTAATTTTGTATATTTGATTGAATAAATGATTTTATAAAGAGTTTGACTGTGTGTGTGTGTTATTTACAGTAATAGACAGAAAGCCTTTCGCAGCATCTGGCAGGAGTTACATTCACCAGATGCTGCATGGATCATGTTCTGGAAAGCATCACTGGTCCATGTATGGTTCCCAGCAGTGCAGTAAACTACTGTCTTCCTCATCTCTTTACAAATATAGTGGTCTCTCTTACTTGCTTTCTCTCTCTTTCTTTCTTCCTCTCTCGCTGTGTATGTGACGGTTATGCTTCTTGCCACAGATGAGCTTATACTATTCCGGGCAGCTGCTTCAGGGCCTGAGTCATCACTATGGTCACAGAAATGTGTCGCTCCGAACTTGAACCTAACCTGCATTCCTGATTCTTGAAACACAATCCCGACCACGATACCCTCCCCCCAGTGACATTAGTGAAACATACACATACTCTACATCAGTTGCAAAATCACACATGGACTTGCAAGTAGTGGAAATGTATGACTCCATATATTTTTTAAGCAGGACAGTTGTGTTTTTTATATTTTAGGAGTCAAAATGACCAAAAACAACCAGAATAGAAGAATTTGTTAAAATCTAGCAATGATTGAAATGGGTGTATATCTGTGAGCGTGACTCATGTTTTTGTTGTCAATGTGGTTGTGTCCTCTTGCAACTTTTCCAAACCATTGTAACCAAACAACAAAAGGCACCCCTCAGTAGCCACAATATAACACCAAATGATACATATAAAAATGTGTTTAGTTAGAATTCCAGCCATGTTAGTAGATCTTAACCACATTCCACTTTCACTATTTAGGGTAGAAAACCCTGTGATTTAAATCTCATTTTCTCATTGTGTATCGGTGGGTAATAGCTAGGTTTGGTAAGTATGGGTGGTTAGATGAACATGTTGCATAAGAACTAGCTTGACGGGTAAACAATGTAACATTAGACGACTGATGCTGCTTTTGTTAGTTTAGCCATCGTCCTCATGAGTGATGGACAAGTGAAACATCAAACAGCTATAGGGCGTTCTATGGCCCTTGCCTGTTAAGTATAAGATCAATCAATGCAACAAAAGGCCTGTGTGATGCTGAATTTCTGATGAGGCAGAATATAAACATTTTAGGCTAGGGTGATGTTTGTATTTGCATTATCTTTGTCAATATTTATACACTGACTGACTCCCCACTGTTGAACTTGAGACTGCCATGCTGTGTTCCCACCCTTAAACTTATCTGAATTTCCCATGCAGTGCAAACAACATAATCAAGGGGTTACATAGAGGCACTGTGGCCCAAGGCATAATACACTACCTTATAAAGGTGAATTCAGTGACTATCTTTACAAATTTAAAGCCTCTTTGTATTATACAAACCTGTGTGGTATGAGTGAATTTTGCATTAGATTTTGACACCTGAGACAGACATAATCACAAGGAGGTTACTCTAGTGCAATGAGATTTAACCCCAGTTGTGCAATACTATTTTCACCATGTTTTTGCTTCTGTGTGCTACTTGTCACTACAAAACAGAGCCAGTTGTGAACTAGACAGCCGTTAGTGTTATTATACTATTATATTGAAATATCTTACACATATGGCCTTTTAGAAAACAATGTCTTTATTTCCCTTTCATACAAGGGAACGTTAACATGAGAGACTATAATCATAAAAAATATACAATCTGTTCTTGTTAAAAAATAAATTACATTGAAACTTTATGTGGCAAAATAGTTTATAAGGTATCTCATTATTGTCTCTAGAACCAAGACAGCAATCTCACTCCCACTATTTAAAGTTTATGACTTATGGTCATTATATTTCTGGTTGGATTATCATGTATTCACCAAAAATGGTTATCCAAATTTTCATGTTTTACATAATTTTTATTTAGTAGCAGACCTGCCTAGATTATTTTTATGATCACAGTAGGCTCCATTGCCTTACAATTTGCACCCCACACTGACATACTCAGGCAGTGCACCTTATACAATTTGTTATCTTGAGAACACGCCCTTATTTCCAAGACTTGAACGCCGCATTGATTACCCTTCTTTTGTAGGCGTGGCTACTTTAAAAGAGGGAGGAGTTGTTGTGTCTGCTGCGTGTGTGTGCGTGTTTGTACGTGCGTGCGTGCGTGCGTGCGCTGGTGTGTCTCCCCACGGCAGCATGAGATGAGCTGCCTGCGGTCTTTGCAGCCACTGTTTGTGCCTCCTCCTCTTCCTCTGTGTGTCTGTCCGGTACGGGGATGTTGACCAGTAGATTGTGAGCCAGCGCTGTCCACTTTGTTCCTGAAGCCGCTCCGCGCGCTCTCTCCGCGGGTTGTTCGGCCCCTCTGAAGCCACTGGACTCTGGACTGATCTGGCTTTAAGGTGAGTGGTACCGGATGAAGACGCTCGTAATCAGTGTTGGGGGTTGTATAGAAAGTCCGCACAGATAGGCAGACCGGTCAGCGTGCGTGTCAGAAAAGTTGTTTGCGGGACATTGCGTTGGAAGATAACCGGGCCATGCGCTTTTTAACTGCGCTAAATGAACTTTCCAAACGTGTAGCTTACAGCGGCTCCTCTCCTGAACCACGATGACTGCACTGTACTGGCTTCCTTCCGTCTGCACTCGCTCCTCGTGTCCAAGCCACTCACTCACTTCTGTGCCGCTAACCTAAAACATGGAAGCCCTCTTTTTTTTTTTTTTTATCACTGACAGTTATTGGATGCTTGTGCTCGCCTTGTTTACAATTACGTAACTGTATGTGTGCAGTTGTCCATGGGCAACTACTTTCTGTCCCGTAGCTCCACCAGGACGCACCCCCCACCCTTTTTTCACCCACTCACCCCTCCTCGCCCCCACCACACCACACCACACCACAGTAGCACCCAGCAGCTCTTCAACTCAATTCTGGGAGAGTTTCAGCACCAGCAGCAGACCTTATCGCCTTATCCCTTTGGCACCAGTTTGCTTTGGGGGTGGGGAGGAGGGGTGAGGGAAAGAGGCGTTTTTTGGGGTATACTTGATTAGAAGAGTTGGTAACTTTTATTGTATTTCTTCATGTTGGAAAAAGTCTATTGCCTAGTTATTATTTAGGCCTATATAACAATTAAAGTCATATGTTCTGTTAACTCTTTATTTTTTTCAAAACACTGTTGTGAAATGGTTATTCTGAAATAAAATTCAAATGTGTCTATCCCCTGAATTTCCTATGATATGATTGCAACTGTTTGTATTTTATCCAGTCCAATGTTTTGTCCCAGATGCCCTTCTATCCTGATGCAACTCTTTATTTTTGGCTTGTGATGTTTTTGTTGTGATTACCCAATTTTTTTGTGGTGTTAAACTTTTTTTCATTTTGCATTTCCTTGAATCATTGCCTTTTCCGCCAATTGTAAATGTGAATAGGAGTCATCAATCTTATTTTTTTGTAGGCTTACAGTTGAAAATGCATGTGAGTTTCTGTCTCGTATATCGATCACATAACATGTATCTTGAGAATGGTGCATTCTCGTTTTAATGACTGTCTGGCCTTTATCTCTTGTAACTTTATTTCCAAATGTCTCAACTAAACTGCAGCTCTTTTATAGACTCTTCGATTTGCCCTGTCATTCGGGCAAGCTTCCAAGTCAATTTCTTTATTAGCTGCATGTGCTTTCTCTGGAAAGCACAAAGTTGCATAACAGCCTTAAAATTTATGATTCAGTCCTGGAACTATCAGCTTTGGCTTGTGCATTATGAGTCCAGACCAAGTCTATAGCAGAGCGTGACTGAAGAGTTTAGGAGAGCCGTAGGGGTGTGGTGCTCAAGCTAAGATCTAGTACATACTGTAGTCTGAATGTTCATTTATTCTTCTCTTTACACAGATCTAGCTTCAAGCATAGTATCATGATGTAATTCGTATCAAATGTGCTTTAGTTTTTATTATCAGTGCAAGATAAGAAGTTGGCCACACAGGGCACATCCCCAGTTTAGGTTTGTTTATTTATTTATTTTTGTTACAGTTAGGCCACTGTATTTAATACAGTATGCTACAGTAGTGTACTATAGGCTTATATATACCATCAGTTATAAAGATCCAGCAATGTGTTATTATTCAGTAAAGTAGGTGAATTTTCTATGTATAATGATGTATTCGTCCATAATTTTCCTCTTTCCTCCATTCGATTATATTGTGGTCACGTCCCTGTGTGCACATGCTAACCGCTTTAGCTGTGGTTTCTTTTTACCCCTTTAGCTCCAGTCCTGCTATTTCAAGTCTATGCTTAGAAGCACAAGCATGATGGGGCATGAACTTTGCAAGTATACAGACTGCCAAGAGGCACATATTGCACATAATTATACTTGCAATAGGCCTTGCTGCACCAGCTTTACCATTCTGACTTATGTTTATTCCCGTAGGAGTTTAAGATTGCTTCTGCATTTTCTATCAAGAGACACACATGTCATTTTAAAACAAATCAGCATAGCATGGATCTTAAACATAATTGGAAATTCATGTTATCTGTAGACAAATACTGGGTTCATATCTAGTTTGTTTACTTTAGAACAAGACTGTACTAGCTTCAGAGCTTGCTTATCGATGGTAGAGTTTTGGCCTAAACCTGTCCCAAAGAGTTTTATCCTATACATGTTAATTTCCGTGTAATTTGCCAGTTAAACTGTAAGCATTTTCAAAAGGCAAACTGTCTTAAGTTACTACTTTTTAAAAGATTTGGTTTGATTAACTTTACTTTTCTAGACGCTATAGTATGCCCGGGGTAACATTCAAAGGATTGAATTGCCACAGATATGCTATTAGCTGGCATGGGTGCTATAAGAGCCCATGGTCATGCTTTGGGCAGCATTCCTGTGTGTGTTGCGTCAGCAGGCAGTCATTCAGCACTGGTTGGTCTGGGCTTATGCACGGTTAATACCCCTCTCTGATGTCATGACACCATTAACACAAGCCTCTAGCTCAGGTCATATTAGTCTACAATGGTCCCAGTCTAAAAACAGACCAGCCCTACCCTTTTACCAAGTATCAGGTTAAAAAAAAATAGAATACAACTGTGATGTATTTTTGTTCAGCTTAATCTGAAGATCTGTTGCTTAATCTATTGCAGGAATGATTTCTGATTAGTCTTCTCCAGATGTATTAGTTCAACACTGGGTTCATTGTACATTTTCTTGGCTGGTTCCTTTCAAATCCGTTAGACAATCAACTTTTTTTTTTAAATTGAGAGTTAGTCATTTCTTGAATGTTGCATTTTGTTATACATTCAGCTTCAAGTTGATTCGCTCAGCATTTACATGTGACAGAATCTGATCTAACCACAAGTGTACAGTGGAAGATCTGGTCAAATGTGACTCAATGCCAGGTCTGTCGAGAAGCAATAATGGTGTCTTTATTCCTTAGGTAACCAAAAACCAGCTTGGGTGGATGCAAGGCCGATAGCAAAGTTTTTAGACACACTCGACTGTTTGATAAAATGATCTGGCTAACTTACAGTATATACAAGAAGTGTCTGTAAGGCCAAGTGTCCGCCTAGTTGAATTCCTCTCTTGTTATTCTTTTCTATGTTGATATGGGTCTCTCTGCACATGTAATGGAATCTGGGCTGTTCAATCAAAATAAGCCATGGTTAGTTGGTGTTGTTGGTAGATGTACAGTATGATTAAAAGCAGAACAATGCTGGCATTTAACTTGAGCTACATCACTGCCTTTGCTCATTCTGATCCTGCATGCACACGGACCACGTCTGACATTTGGTCATCCTTGATTATTTCTCCCTCTTACTGCATTATTCTCCTACTTGAAGGAGATTAGGATTTAGATTTTTTAATCTTATTTTGTAGGAATACAATCTCTGATAAACCCTTTTTAGTAGTTTTAAGGAAAGCCAAATAACACACCTTGCCCAACCAATGGAAAATACACATTACATTTAAAAGTGAACAAAAAGCTACCATCTAGGATCACATATTCAGTTTAATGTTAAGTGAAGAAGACTTCTGGGTTGCCTGGGCCCACAGCAAACGCCACACCAGAGATGGACTAGTCATCCCATGTATGGTTTTATCCATCATTTGAGCAAACCTGTGCCCAGACACCAGTGCTTCCAGCTTGTTCATTCATCTCTGCCATTGCATAAGCCTGGTTCTCTCAAGCAGTCCAATGAAATCCTCATCCAATTAGGCACTGTCCACATTTCCAAAAGGCTATTCAGTGTCCCCCGGCATGACATCAGGCCCTCTCATATAGCCCCACTTTCCGCTGGTGCTCTCAGATAATGAAAGCTGCCAATTAATGACTAATCAACATGTGCAACAAGCAGATCCAGTGAGGAATGACTACCATCTAATTTGCTGATTAGAAGTGAGCACAGAGATGCTCTGTTCAGCTTTCTCCCAGATCTTTGAGTCGCCCTGCTCCGGTGACAACTGCCTGGGGCACTAACTATGCACACACAGACTGTAGCTTACTGTAGATTTTGTCAGTCATTATAAGTGTATGAATGAATATTCAGTGAAAGCTGTGAGGATTTGAGCATTACCAAAAACTTTGTCAGGCCAGTGATTTTAAATGGGTCCAAAATTTTCCAACCCATTGGCATCAGACATTAGACTTCAAGCTTTGTTGACCGCAAAAGGGAAATGGTTGAACACAGTAGCTTACTAACAATAATAAACAATGCGGCAAAAGTAAATGTGATACACAGAAATAAATCAAGGCTGCATACAAGATGTGGTATAAGGAGACAAAAGGTGAAATGTTGGCTTTTCACTTGGCATAAGGTTATCTATAACATATGGATAAGTAGTTGTACAGTTTTATGAAGTATAGTATAAATGTTGTCTTGTATCACTGTGGTAGAAGAGCAGTAGGAGCCTTGTATATACACACTGATTTATATATCTTTTGGGCATGAGTACTAATGGAGTTGTTAAAAATCGTTACTAGTTATAGTCAAGGAACAAAGCCTTCAAAGCTTTCAGTCAGTGGGAAACACAGCCACACAGTACTGTAACGATACCATATTGTCATTTTCTATAGGTCGGCGCACCATGGAACATTTTGAACGTCAGAATAAATGTAGTCGCTGAAGGTGTCTGACCAATTTAAACATATAGTTCAATAACTGACCTCTCCTCTCTGGGGGTGGTGCTTCAGTCAGTGCATTCACTTCAATAGCCTCTCTGCACGTCTCCAGACAGAGTTGGAGCGGTGCCATTTCTTGAATTAAGACGCTGTTCATGTTCTGGTTTTCTGTGGGATGAGGCGGGGTTCACAGCGGAGGAGAGAAGACTAGACTCGGGGTGAGGTTTGGGGCGTCGATTAGTAGCAATGGTAGCAGTATGGGTTAACAGTGGGAATCGACATGTGGGATAAATTTAGTGGGTGTGGTTCTTTTATGAAGGGTCTATAATCCAATCCAATAATATAATCCAATCAAATCCTATTTAGGAGGGGAACGTCAGATATGTTTTACACTGTTGGCCCTTTTTTTGACAGTTCAGTCTGTAATACAATGGCAAACCTCCTCTCAAATCTTGATAAGGGGAGTGAGGAGGTTGGTGTCCGCTGATCTGAGGTGGCAGGTGGGACCGTGCTGACGGAGAGGTGATAGAGGTGATCAGGAGGACCTTGTATTGGATTCAGTATTAGTACGGGGAGCCAGTGGAGTTGTTTGAGGACAGGCATGATAAAAATGATAAATAAAATAAATGTTTGCTTTTATTAACTGCTCCTGATTCTCTTTTCAAGATGTCAGTTTTTCACAAACTGTCTGCAAGTTAACATGCATTATAGTTGTAGCGCACAGTGGAGGAAGGTTTGGCTCACCAGGCTAACAGGGCTCAGAATTAGCTGATATATAACATCTTCTGGCCAGACGTACTTTAAAAAAAAAAACTATCATAATTGGCCTAAACCGTTCTACCTAAGCAATTCTTGGAGTGATAACAGGAACGTCTCCAGCGCAGTCTATAGCACCTTTTGCTGAGCCCCATGCGCCTTATAGAAATGTGCTGGTGCATTCCTAAGATGACTGAGCCTGTGTGAAAGGCCCAGTGTTAAGCAATGTCCAGCGGATCAGCTGCAGTCTGAGGGGCCACATGAACACACTTGACACACATGAAAGTGCAGATACTGGGATAGGACACAGCTGTGGACATTACTAATGGCTGGTCTCTCACCGACTAGATTTACACCACATCAAAAATCTGACCATTGTCTCACATCTATTATCAGATTATTAAAATAGAGATTCACCGATATGTTTCTTTTCACAGATTGTTTAGAGTACAGAGCAACTGATGGCTGATAAGATGATTTTATTAAGTTAATTAATTCATTTATTTTTATTTTTTTGTCCAATTACATGAGGCTGATATTGATTATTTTTCTCAAATAAATTTTAATTTGTTACAAACTCACCCATAGTCTTTTTTTTTTTTTTTTGTTCTTACCATAAACCTTGAAGAGAGCAGTGTGTCAGATTTAGGGCAGTTATCACTTTGTATTAAAATGTTCAAATGAAGCTTTGAGTGTACTTTTTAGGCACCAAATTGACCAAAACAAAATTTTGGCCTGTGCTGCAGGTTTAAGGCCAAAAGCCGATACGCTTAAAAGTCCAAATGATGTATCGAGCTATCTCTGTATTGAAATGTCAAGAGTTATATCTGATTGTGAGTTATTTGATTTCTTTCTGATCTGCTCACAGCTGTATCGGTTTTGACAAGAAAAATGCAAAGATGAAAATGAAAGGGAAAGATTGAAAGAGTTATCTGTATCTGTCTATGATATAAAACAGTGTACTAATGCTCAGCCATCCTGTCTGTAGCATCTAATGAGGTGCAGTTAGGACACTGGTGATTGATGTCAATGTGTTTGTTTTTTGTGGAAAACTGTTTGTCTGCAAATAATCTGCCTTTGAAGAGGTGACCTTATGTGGCGTCTGGTCTGGACACAGCCCACCCCTGACAGTGGGACGATAAAGCACAAATATTTAGAAGAAAACTTGGGGTTCTCATGCATAGCCCTTTTGTTTTCAATAATTACTTGTCTGGGAAATGCATTACTGGAGCTCTCTATCTCATTTTGTTGCACTCAAACCAAGACTCATAATTCCAGGATAGCTCCAAGTCACTTAACCTTTAAAAGGAAAAATAGTATAAAAGTATGATGAACGAATGAAGCCATCAACAGGTTCTAAAGAAAAACTCAAACTCAAAAAATAACCTGCATGCACCCACACATCATTGCTTCCATTTACATACAGTACCTAAAACATACTGTAATAGCATCATGTAAGATGAAGAAATTGAGACAACCTAATTCTAAGTGTGGCGCCCTAACCACGACTAAGACAAACAAGAGATAATATTAGCTGTAAATAAAGTGGCAGTACATATTTTTGAAATGCAATCACTGGGTCATGAACTGCTGCATAAAAGCACCTCATAGTTGAGAGCCAGAGCTGCTTTGCTCAAAATAAATCCTCCATCTAACTTAAGATCTGGAGAGGTGCCTGCAGTGTATTTATAGGCCTGAGGCTGCAAGTGTTTTCGTAGTGGCAGCGGTGTGGCAGCAGCGGCTACAGGTTGATAGGATACCCACTTTAAGAAGTTCAAATAGATGACTGGCTGATGTTGAATTTGTGGTTATTCTGCTCATGTTTGGTGAAGAGGTCAAGCTCAAGGTTAATTTGTTTATCTCCCCTGTGGGAAAACAGCTAAAAGACACACCTTGTAAGTTAATAAATTGCAATCTATTGGTTCTTTAATACTTGCATCATCATTAGGCATTTTTATATGAATGAAATACAAAATAAATTATTGCATATTAAAATATGCATTAAAGAAGATACTTTAACAAGGAACCAACCTTTTTAGAGCAGGCAAATCATATGAACTCAAGTGTTTGAAACAGGTCTCAATAGTGAAGAACTGGAAGAAGAATTGGACATCAGTTTCAGGAATGTTCTTTGTGAAGACGGTATTACACTTTTGACTTGTGCTACTCTTAAACTTTTCTTGCTCGTGTTTGTTATTTCTACATTTGAGCCTTAAAATTTTGATCCATCTTAGCAACCTGATTGTTCTTGGCCTTTTGATTTTGGGCTGGACACAATGTACTATGTTGCTATGAATTTCAGACAGCGTCTGGTTGCTGTTTGTAAGGGATGTTTACAGTCAGTATGTGGGTTAAGAAGAGCTATTTGCTATATTTGTCCACTGTGAGCATCTCTCATCTCATCATCTCTCTCGTCTCTTGTCATTCTTCCATTTAAACTACCATTTTGTCATCTTCTCATCTTTCTAAGAAATTATTTCCAATCTCTGTTCGTTTATGCCTCTGCAGGTTGCTCTTTCGTCATCTTGAATGAAAAGCCTGTGTGAGAACTGAACAGAAGAACTGAGGTTTGCAAACATGGCTCTCGCTGGTTGTCCTGATTACTTCCTGCATCATCCAAATTATCAGGTAAGACATAATTCTTTTGAAAGCCCTTTATTTCTTTTAGTTCAGGTAAATACCATGTGGATCATGCTTGTGCTATTGGCAAAGAAAGTGCTTGTATTATATTGTCAGTGTATTTTACTGGATGAGAACCACACAACCAGGTATGATTTTATCCCTTGGTACATTGCTGGATAAAAAAAAAATAGCATGCAGTGCTTAGTTACTAGTTTTTCCATTGTTTTTTCATCAACTGCCCTTTTGCTTTGCTATATAGCATGTACATTATCAAAGGTTTGAAAGTACATTGGTTTACCACTTCTTGGGATTTGATTCCATCTGGTCTCAAAACATATTTTACTAAAACATCATGAGCTCTCCAGAAATACCCTTTAGAAGGTTTAAGGATCACAGGACCTGCCTGTGTAGATCAAAGAGACCCTAAACATTTGCATTAAGTCACAAGCAAAATTAGCATGATCAAAAGGCAGTCTGTCTGTTCAGAGGCTTTATTTGTGACCTTTGACCTTGGAGCCAGTGGACGGCGAGTTCAGCCTCTTCATAACAATGTGTCAGCATAGCACTGGAGGTTCACGTGACCAGCCACCATAAAAATAACTATAAATGTATAGAGGTCAGTTGGCAGAGATGTGCACCCACTAGACCTCCTTGATACTAGCAATTCATGATGTTTTGTGTCCTTTGGCACACCCACCTGCATGAATGTCCAAGTGAGGAGTGAAGGAATATTGCCACTTTAACTTGACTAATTGTAAAACAGATGGTGATATTGGAATCTGCTAAAATGATGATGACGATTATTATTATAACAATAGTAAATTGTATTTATTAGGGTTCTTTTCTTGACACTCAGGGGCCTTTTTACACTAATAGGTAGAAGTCCCTCTGTAGGTTTATAAAACTGTATTTAACCTGAGTGTGACGTAAGTGTGCAACCTTGATTCTTCTCTTTTCTCACTTGCTTGTAGCTGAACCTCTAGTCCTTCGTGTCCTGCAGCTTCTAACCTTCAATCTCTTTAATTCCATCCAGTCCATGTCAGTTGTTCTTCATCAGGACTTTTTTTTTTACATACTTGCATTCAAGCTCTTGTTGCTCTTGAGCTTGCCTATCGTTTGTGCTTTTTAATATTTATTTTTACACTGCTAATTTACTGAGATGCTCCAACCGTAATAATAGTTTCTTGTAAAGTTGGATAAATGTATTCTACCCATAGAGTGGTGTTAAACACATAGACACCAACATATGAGCACATGGAATTTGTTAATAAAATATATATTATTTTGAGCTTAAACATGTGAGATACATGTGCAATACAGATTGGATTGACCATATCATTAATGCCATGCGACATCTCTCAGCCTCTAAAAATCTAGTTACATAATTGCAGGCTTCTTAGGCAGTGATCTAGTACTTCTCAGCAGCCGGACAAAGTCACATTCAAGGCCAATATATGGTCTGAAGGAGTGCCCACATTTCTATTTAGTAGAGCTGAACCATGACTATCCCGGTGCTGTTTGGGTGACTGGTTATGGATCAGTCACAGTCTACTGCTTTCTCCTCCGGACATTGCACTGGGGGTCCACTGTGTCACAAGATCAAATGGGGTGGCGTGCTTCCTTATGTGATTTTTTTGTTTTGTTTTCTTTTTCTTTCTTTTCCTTTTTATTTCTAAACCAGGTTAGTCCCATTAAATTCTTTAGCAGTGGGGTCTAGACAGCTGGAACTTGGAAGACAATACAGGAGGCGAACAATGTAATGATTGGATGCGGTTGGGTTAGTTGGTATAGAAAAAGAGGGGTAGGGGGACTGCTAGAGTCCGTACACTAAGGTTGAATGTGACCAGTAGACGAACAGAGAGCAGGGAAGAGGACGTATCATCAAATCATGGATTATACAGTCTTTGAACAATGAAGAAACTGAAGTTCCCTAAACTCTGAGTGAGTTATTTCATTACTTTTTTTGCACAATCTTTATTGTAGGTGAATATTACTTATCATTATCAAAAGCATTTGGATTTTGCTATTATTTTCAACTGATAGTTCTTTAATGCTCAAGAAATATTTATATTGATACGACATTTGGATTATTTATGATCTTGACTATCTTATGTGGTTATCTAAATGAATGTATGTTTGTAATTTTTTTTTCTAATTTTCAAATTGTTCTAACAGGATAGACAATAGAATAAGTATGCAAATGTAATTTTTCTTTTTTATTTGTGATTGGCTTGTTAATAAAAAAACTAAAAAAAAACTAAAATTGCATCACATACAATTCTGAATATTCATATATAATTACAATTGATTTACAGGTTAAATACTAAACTTTAACATCTTACATAATTACTGTGCATTGTAGTAGCCAAATGTCTAGTTTAAATCTGGTAAAGCTGATAATTGATGTCACCACGGTCACCATAAGGCAATCAAACTTTTCTTGCTGCATCAGAGGTCCAGTTGAGACAGTCAGTAGCAATGTTTTTTTTTTTTCTTTTTTTGAACACAGTGGCCTGTCTTAGTACGTTCTGTTCTCTCTCTGCTCTCCTGTCTGCACGGGACGCCAGCCTGTTTTTATATGCACACTTTGGTCCATATACTTAACCCCTTACTAAAATACTTACTTGTGCTAAAATGAAGTAACTGAAGAAGTTCAGTTGAGTGTTTTTGGTGAATTTCTTATACCGATGTGCTATCATGGGTAGAACATGTTTCAGAGGTCATCCCAGGACACGCGGGTTACACGTGGGGCAGCTGGTCGACCGTAATTTGATAGAAACCTGGCACTCCTCATCCACTGGCCCCTCTAATGCACTTACACGCCACTTACACATATTACTTATTTTTATACTGTGTAGCAAATAATGGCCTGAATTTCATTTACAATTCTCGCTATGTAAAAATTTTCAGTATGTAAAAATAATATTTTCTTTTTTGTCTTTTTAGCAGGACAATATAGACCACTCTTCAAATCACCGACAGGCTGACCTCAGTGGTCGGAGTTCTCCCAACCACAATCAAGGTAATTCTGTCTTTTCTTGCTGTTTCAGTGGGTTTGTACTAAGGCAAGCAAAAATGACATATTTTAAATACTAAATAAATGGCTTATATACTTTTACTGCACGTTGGCTGTAGACCTTTTGATAAAAATATCCACATTATTTGTACTGTATTTCAAAATTGTATTAATTGCAAGTCATTTGAAAATATTACAGAAAGTATGAAATAATCAGTATTTATTCAATGCATGTAAATCTATATTTTTTGTACAAATGGTGTTGTATACTCCTTTTACAATTTTTGTTGCAAATAATATTCCTACCATGAATACCTGTGCCAGTTTGGGGCCTGGGTTAAAGCTCAGAGTGTAGTCTCTCCTCTGTATCGTATGATGAATGGTGAAGGGGCGCTACCACAGAGTTAATGTATATTTGGGTCTCTTCCGCTGTAAACATTTGAACAGTTCAAAGGCTGATCTGCATAGACGCAGGGTGCCATTATAATTACGCTGTCTATCTAATTGTGCCATACAGTGCTCATCCATGGCAATCGGAGCATGAGATTTAAGCACAATATTGGCCCAGCATGGAAGGTGAGGGTGGGGAGTCTGAATTAGAGCGCTTGTCCTGCCATGGGAAATAAATGGAGCAGAAATTACATTGTCATTTTCCATGATGAGCCGCGATGAAGGGAGCAGACTGATGAAGGTGACTTCAGCTTGAGAACTTTTTTGGCTTTGGTGTCTAGGCATTGACTTTTGTAAAGGGGGCTAAACACTATGCACTCATTGGCTCATTTTATGCTCTACTGTAACTTTAATTGGAAATATATTTGATTTTACTTTGAATCTAGAGTAACATGTTAAGGTCATGGGCATGCCTATTGTAATGGATTGACGTCTTGTACTGTACGTCCCACTGGGGCCGTGACAGACTGATACTGTCCCACTGTTGTCTGGTCACTGTTGCTCATTTGCATCAGTCCCATATAGCTGTGCTCATTGTCTATAGGCAGCACACTGTAACTGCCAGGACACACAAAGGCCTGTGTGGCCCAAATGTCACATCAGGACAAGCACAACATGAGACTGTACCAAAAACGCGTGTGCATTTCATGTTCACATACGAGTACAACGTGTATGATCAAAAGTACTATGTTCATGTGCTGGATAAATAACTTTGAAACAAATGTGTTTATTTATTTATTTATTTATTTGACAATGCAGTCATACAAAATCACAGGCAGCGCATCCAGCTGATGTGACACAGAGTGTAAGCTAATGCTAATTTTTAACTCCTGTCCCTGGTTGAGCTTTACCCAACACTAAATATTGAGTTTTACATTTTTTTGAACTGTTTAAACACATTTTTCAACATTTCAGACATTCCCACATTCAAACATAAATTACACACAATACACAAATTAACTGAGCTGTTTACTAAGTGCTATATAAAATTGGCTCCACCTTGATTTTATGTTCTGGAGTTTATATTGCATATACATAATCTCAACTTGGCTATAAAATCTTGAGTGCTCTTCTTGGGCCAGTCCTGAGACATGGATGTGATCGTTCCTGTGGAGGAGGGCTGTCTCAGCTGGGCATACAGCTGCTAGGCAACAAATCCCATCAATGGTACCAATGCAGTGCAGTGATCTTACAGTGTGCCTCTGAAGGCGTGGCTAGCTCAATGTATCATGTATCCATTTATACAACCCACATGTACAAGGAAACTCATAGTTCAAATAAAATACCCCAATATATTACAATATGCACAATTGCACATGTTTTAATTAACCTTTCTAGACTATCAGAGTTATGAAACACAATCCAGCAGAGCTGACCTGATGTGAACTCTACCTCTCCTGTTCTGTGTGAGTGACCTGGTGTGATACAGGCCTCTCTCACTTGTATGATGTGCTCTCTCCTCCCATCACTGGTGCTCTCAATCTGCTACCCCTCCCTCGTACCATCAGGTTGCTTTGCTCTTATGGGTTTGTGCCCAGGTAAGGTGTCACCAAAGGTATTGTACTCCCCAGTGTGGAGCCATGCTTTACAGTTTAGACTTGGCTCTACATGTTCATGCTGAACCATTTCTGTTGAAAGCCCTGAAAGGACTGTTTATTATTTTGGTCTGTGTTGTTAAGCCACCTCCATTTTGCTTTTAACCAGTGGGATAGCATTCATAAATAATTTAATATCTCGACAGGACTTTGTGGCTTAGCCGTTGTTTCTAGAGGTTATTGTTTCTAGTTGAAACATAAGAAACACGCTTAAAAAAAACAGAAAACGAAACAAAAACCATGTAGGACATTACAGACATCGTTTGCCATATGCAATTTTCTATAAAACTAATGCATAAGGTCTCTAAGGCAACACTACTGAATGAATCTACTTTAAAACACCATCCCTTTTTTTAAGATTATTGAAACTCATGTAAGCTTCTCAAGTCTCAGCTTTGCCTCATTGGATAAGCTTTTTGTGATTACAAATGACATTGCTGTTTGGAACACTGAGATTCAGCTAATGTTTATCATTGACTCCGACTCATTAATTGTGGTGAAGCAGACACTGTTGCTTAACACACCTGCATTCTTTAAAACACTGTTATCAATTTCAGTTTATGGAAAAACAAAATACAACTTTTAAAGCCACCATCAGTTAGAGCTTTGGGCTAAATTTTAATTTAAAAATTTAATTTTAATTGTACATGACATAATCACACAATATTTATGTAGATTGTGTGGCCAAAACAACTGCAAAAACATTTACACATTCAAAAAAAAAAAAAATGTAATATGCGTAGAATACTAAATTATTATTTTATGTTGACTTTTTATTGATTAGTTCTAGCTTTTCATTTTAACTCTTTTAAATCTTTAAATCAGTAAAACTCAAATCTCACAGATATTTGTGACTTTAACGGGCCTAAATTGATTTAAATTGAAATAAGCCATGTTCCCTCTTTGCATTCAGAATCAGTGTTGCAGTATTCAATCATATGACCTTTTTCTTCTGCACTTGTTAGGTCAGTGGTAGACCTGTCATGATCAAAAATGTGTGATATATCGCTGATTAAAATATAGATTATAAACGATCATATTAAATGCCATTATACCACTGACATGATAATCCTAAATCAGGTTTCCCAAAAAACACTTCTACATGATCATTAACAATACTGTGCATGTACAAGTGTTTTTTGAGCTGCAATACTTAGTGAGTATAGAAGTTATTTATTCAGCCCTCTGCAGCTCAAATCTCATCATGGTGCAGAAGAATATCAAAAAGCTAGTACTCTAGTACCTTAGTACAAACAAAGTACCCACGATAAATATTAACCCCAAAAATAATTGTTCCATCTATGATATATTGAACAATAAGTTGATATCTTAATTATTGTCAGTGGCTTCTCAATGAACTCTGAGACAGCAGCCTGTGGTGTGGGATATAGCTTTCACCAGGTTATCTTTAAGTAGTCACTGGAGCTTATCTGTTGCTATTAATACACAAAAGATTAACCACGTGTGAGCTAAAGGTCCTTGTGATTCAGCAGCATATTTAAACACATTTTAGTTTCAAATAAAAACAAGTGCATTGCGCTGATTCAATAACACTACATATGGTCACATTCACAAATTTTCTATACTTGGTCTAGAGAAGATTTCTCAATCTTTGTGTCTTGTGTAACTGCAGTTAGTCTTTGATGATTGCTATCTGTCTCCCTCTAGTGGACGTCCTGTGTACTTCATTTTCATGCAGTGCACTTTTGCAGCTCCTGTTCTCCACCTTTTCACAGTAAAAATATTTTATTTTTAGTAATTTTTGATAATATTAGATTACATTATTGTGTTATAAAATGTGTATTATAACAATACTTTGTTAATAATTTTTATTATTTGCTATTTTAAATAAAAAATGACAATTAGTAGTAAGTTTATACAGTTTAATTGTCAGTACTATATATCCCCAAGAACCAGAAACTATTTTAAAGTGGCTATTAAGCAGGCAGCTATAAATGGGATTATGTTTTGAGAGGTGTTGGACAGGTGTTTTTTCCCCCTATAGTTCTATGGAAGATTGGCTCCATATACCACATTGTACCCAAGAGATCACCATGCTGTGTGTGTGACCAGTCTTTACTTTCACTTTTGTGAAAGTCAAGGGTTCAACTGCTGGCCACAGCAAACTGAAATTGAAAAAGACGTTGAAAAAATCCCTATAACAACTTTGGGAATTTACTGTTTCAGCTCCTTTTAGTTTCACAATGTGAAACCAAAACCTAAAACATACACAACTTTCAGTTTGAATTAATCTTGAAGTCTTTGGTTGTCTTGTTCTTTTGTTCTTTGTAGGGTTTATGGCCAGTTCACATCCTTCTACGCAAGTTTAAACAGTTTCTTTTTTACTTGTATCGTCCAGATGATGATGTGGATCTAGAGGCCCTTGTGAATGACATGAACTCTTCGTTGGAGAGCTTGTACTCTACATGCAGCGGGCAGCAGACGGAAGCTACACCACTGCTCCACAACGGCCAGCCGCCTTCTTCACATCATCACCACCAACACCTTCATCACCATCATCATCACAACCATCACCGCCATGCTCAGCACCTGTCACACATGTCGCCTGAGCCCACCTCCTCTTCTTCCTCCTCTGCAGACTCTCCTCAGACTGGGCTCCGTCGCTCCCAACCTATGCACATCCTCGCGGTCAGGTACCAGTACTTTACATTGTACAGTGCAGTACAATATACTGTCCTCTTGGGGAGTATATATTTTGCACTTGTGTTTTGTGCCACAGTGTCTTACAATCAACAAAATAAAATTAATAAGTAAAATAAAAAAAGAGACACATGACATGTCACAGTCACAAAAATATGGTCTAGGCACTGTGATTTCAGAGCCTTATAGAGACAACAGGATTTTATAAAGGCTGCTGTTTCAACTAAACTTCCAAATTTAAGAAATTAAACAGTAAATGGTTGAGATTAAATATGCCAGCCACAGTAAATAAAGTAGCCCAAAATGTTCCTTTAGTGTCTTTTGTCTATTAAGAAATTTAAAAAATATATTATTACTAAATCATAGGTATAGTTTAAAAAGTAGATTCAGATTTTTACAGATTTGGAGAACTTGGTATGCTTGCATAATATAAACTGATGCCACATCTAATTTTATTGACAATTTACAAAAATCTTAAAAGATCTAATTTAAAGTACTGTAATAATTTCATGCGCTTTCATTAGCACTGTGAATGAAATCCAAGTTTCCAACTTTTTCCATGAGCCTTTAATTCTCTGAAACAGCTAGTACTCACGCCCTACTAATAGAGCACAGCCTCCCTCTCTACCCGTACCCTCACATTGAACTCATATTGTCATAACTGCAGAAAGTAAAAAGCTGATTTTTTTTTTCTTTACTTTTGAACCCAGTGCAAATGTCTGTTTCGATATAAAGAGCCCTAAGCCATTGCCCCCCAACGGCTTATTATTGTATACATTTAGTAGAGCTAGACTTACCTGTTCCTTCTGTTATCACGTCTTGCTACGCAGTTTTTGACAGACACAGATGAAGGATGAGCAGGTAATGGCATATTCTGTCTTATGAGCTCTCACTTCTCCCTGAAACACACGTTGTGAAGTTCTTATTATTCAGCTCTGACCCCTCAATAACCCCAGCTCTCTGGCTCATATGGGACAACATCAAAAGAGCTATTCCCTTTTGAACTCGCTGCACAGAAACAGAGATAGACTGAGAGAGGAGGGGAGCGGGTTAGCCACTCCGCGAGCTAGACTTTCACCCAAAAAATATGATAGGATGTTGAAAAGTTGATGCTCAGCTGTCAGATGGTTGTGCCTTTTGGGTCGCGAGTTCTCCTGCACTGTATGCACCTAATTTAAAACTGCTTTAAAGTGATGTCTTGATTCAATATTGATGCCTGATGATAAATATTGCAGAAAATTAGCTGGCAAGCTGCAGGGGTCTGTGATTTCCGCTTGCCGGGAGACGCTTCATTATCGAGAGATCAGACAGAAACAGACATGAGACCCGAATACTGTACAGCAATGCATCGTTAGGTTCAAGTCCACAGGCAGATCTCATGTGTCAGCGGCTGAAACTTCTCCAGCCTTGATTTCACTTGCCTGCTCTGTGGAGGTTACGACCTAGGCCCCACTGGGTATATCTTTCATATTTTGACTTTTTCTTAGACTGTTTGTGGGCTGTGTGCAGGAGGTTGCAAGAAGAGGAGCAGCAGTTGCGGACCTCATCTCTCCCAGCCATACCAAACCCCTTCCCAGAGCTGTGCAGTCCAGCCAGTTCACCAGTGCTTAGTCCTGGGTCCCTCCCACCTGGAGAACCGTCCACTGGAAAATATGTAAGTCAATGAAATTCCATATTGTATTACTATTCTATGGTGGAAGAAGTACTCCTTTTTAAGTAAAAGTACAGGTACCAGTGCAAAAAAGAATCACATGAAAAAGTCTACTTAAGCTTAAGTATTAAAGTACCCTCCTAAAAATGTACTTAAAAAGGGAAAAAGTAAAAATATTTCACACAGATTTTGAGATGATTTATTTTTTCCTAGCTTCATTTTTATTTGTATCTTTTTGTTTGCTCAAACTACAATTAAATTACATATAAACCTCTCAGCCTTTTCAGCAGGTGTCAAACAATAATAAAAAATGCTTTTACTACTTTTTAGTCCCGTTAAAAATGTAGTGTAGTAGAAAGTACAGATACTTTCTCTCAAATGTAGTGAAGTAAAAGTTAAAAGTATCCATATTTTACTTAAGTACAGTATTTCACTACTTTTACTTTGTTACATTCCACCACTGATACTATAATTAAAAAATACGGGAGTATTTTGACTCAAACACAAAGAATCCATGCACGCATACACCAATATGCATAAAGTACAGTGTAAAAAGTAGTAAAAATCTGTTCTCAAGTAGAAAACATAGAACTATAATGCTACTCAAGGGAAGCAAAATGAATAATCATACTTGGTCCAAGAGAAATTGTACAAAGTTTAGTTCAAATCCCTCAGTGTTTAAGATACTTATGAGGTAGACCTGACAGGACATGTAACACATAATAGTAGTTCATCAAAGTGTCAAGTAACTGTGTACAATTAGTATTTACAATTTTTTCCTCTTTTTTATTTATTTATTTTACATATTCTGATCCTGATCAACCTTCATGATTACAGGACAAGCGTCAACCGTTACTCTTCCCTTGTGGTTCAGAGAGATGTCTGTGACACTCCAGTAATACTCTAGTTGCACTTTTGTTACATCCTATCTAAACCACCACTGATTTATTCACAAGAAGAACTTGAAGAACAGACTGCATGTACTCTATGTCCTTAGTTTTTGCTATTTTGAAAAATGGAGCATCTTAACATTGTAAATTAGCTGTACTAGTGGTCAGTTTGAGCATACAGGAATTTTCCATGTCCTGTATCTGGCCTGTGGTTTGTCCATCCGAGGTGCTTTGATTGCTTACATGTGATACTAGAGTAGACATGCGTGTATTTGACAAGCTTTGAACACAAAAATTCACCCTTTAAACGATCTTTGTGTTGACACATTGAGGTACCTGCCTTTCTGTGCCGCTGTCCATGTGCGTTTACAATCAGACAGTGATTTAAAACTTTAGTCTGTCTCTTCCTGGAAGCCAGAGGGCGTCTATTGTCGCTGGTAATGATATTCGTATGGGGCCAGGGCGATGCTGGTTACAGTTACATACCAGTTTACAGTAATAGGAAGGCGGCTAATTCTCATAAAGAGCAAAGGCTGGCTGTGATCTTGGTCCGTTTGGGTCCTTATGGTAAAACATCACAGGCTTAAGTTCCAGTTCACTGCCAAAAAATTAGCTCTGCCTTTCTGACTCACAAGCTACTTGATGAATTGATAATCCCTAGCCAATACCCATGCTGTTTGTGTTGGAAATGCACGAAAAGAGTGGTTTGGATTACCATCTTTCACATAAATAAATTTCAAAATGTTAATGTTCACATATCCCCCTAAAAGTCATTATATGTTAGTCTGTGGGGATTTCACTAGCTTAAAGTATAAAACTCAACGTAGCATGGTGAATTTTCATTGAGGCTAAAAGATGAATGCCTCACTGTGTGGTTATGCATTTAGGATCGTGTTACCAGCTGTGCGTAACATTGGCTGCCTACGAATGGGGTGGGTGTGTTTGGTAAATATTCACAAACCATTTTATTTGACTGAGTGACCTGACTGGAATGGGTGGGATGTTGGTTGTTGGTTGGATTCCCACATGAGCTGTTAACTGAGCGGTACAGAGACAGTCTTGGGTTTTTTAAAGAGGCAGGAGGGATGAAGAGATTAGAGGCACAAATTTAGTGTTTCAGACAACTTGTATTGCAATGCCAGTAATAAACTGGAAATATGACTGTAATTTTGATTGGAAATGAAGCCATAAAAAGTTATTGAGACTAAATAATTTCCAAAAAATGTGATAACAATTTATCAGATTGATCCAATAGAATACTAAAAACATCACAGACCTTTTTCAGTGTTAAAAAGTCTGAAACAAATGAAGGCATGGTCTAACTGAAATCTGTACCAGACCTTTCCATGTATGATGTAAATAATAAGAACCATTCAACAATCGCACATTGGGTTTAATAATAACTGTTACAGTCCCTTACATATTACTACATACTTGTATATGGTCACATAGCAATATATACTAGCATTGTTTTTCCTGGTCTTTCTTGTTTCCTTAGACCCCCAAATACTGAAGTAATGTTGAAAAAACTTGTGGAAACTATAATTCTCTGTGTATGTATGTGTTTACAATGTGTGCACGCAACCTGTGTCAGAACTGTGGCGTGGTCCACATGGCTCTGTTTGTTGTCTTAGATGCGTGTGCGTGTGTTTGCAAGCTCTGTAAACTATTTACAAAATTGGCAATATCTGTCCATTGTTGATGATGGCAATGGAAAATATGTCTCATTGCGGTTGGTTCTTCAGTGGAAATTCGATTCAGCACCTTCATCTGGCGAGGTGTGGGGGTGCGGGGTGGGGAACATGTGCAGAGCAGGTCTAGAGAAGAGCAGATTTTGACAAGAAGACACTCAATGAATAGGCAGATTATTGCTCCCAGACTTTGACCTTTGACCTCTGTCACTTAAACCACATGTGTGTGTTTGAGCGCCTTTCTCTCCTCTGTCTTATCTCCTTGTCTGTCTGTATGTTCTACAAACATGTAGCGCAGTTCAACCAAGTTTTTCTTCTTGTTTGGTTTACTGAATTTTCCAAGCTTGAGGCACTTTCTGACAGGCTTTCATGCTTTTTGTGCCTCTGTTTATGCTCAGCTCATTTCTTGGATAGCGCTCTGAAGGCTAAAGGAAGTGGCACATCCCCGTCAGGATTTAGGAATGACTGGACACATACAGTATGACTCCCAATTATCTCACTTTCCTCACTTTTCTGTCTTTCCATATTTATCCTTCCACTTGGCCCAGCTGCTCTCCTCAGCTGCATATGCTTAACAGGGGAAAATGTGAAGGGGCCACAGACACGCAACCATCTGATATTTATAGAAGTGAGAGAAGTGCAGTGTTAGGGATGATATAACAGATGATGACCTGACTCTGTCTTTCTGCCAAAAAAGTTGCAGAACAAACCGCTATTGTTCAATTAGTTTCTATTTTTTTCCTGACAGCCCATTAAGGTCACAGGCCGCTTTTGTGACTAAGGACTATTCCCTTTATAGAGTTATCTGCAGGCTTCTTTGTAAAGGTAAAAAGAAAGCAGAATCAAACTTGAAGGGCTAGTGCTGGTCCTTGCAATAGTAAATACTCAAATAAGAGACCTGGGTCCTAAGGCAGATCTTCTTCCTCAATAAATGCTCAATCCTCCAAACCATAGTACAAAACCATATTTCACAATAGACTTCACTAAAATGAATAATCTGTATATATATATATATATATATATATATATATATATATATATATATATATTTACTCAGTAAAATGTATTCTGGATGCAGGGGAAAATGTCTGCATTTAGCTCAATGCTAAAATTTCCTTATAATGTATATGTTTGTGTTTTACCATATGCATGTCCTCTTGGTTAATGGCAACTTTCACACTCCTTCAAACCTCTACATGGTACAGAGTTTAGATTTTGATGTGTAAAAGTGGCTTTTTTTGTTCAAATAAGATCATCTTTTCACTGCCATGAGGCTCTAGTAGATGCTTAAGCTCATTAATCCATGTCATGCAACAGAAAACTTCATAAGAGGCCCTGAATGCGAGCTAGTTAGCACATATCCATTAATTTAGTTGGTTCTGGTTCTTGACAGTCTGTCCTCAGTAGTGCAATAGAGAGTCTTGTTATGTGCTCCTTGAACACAGTGTTCTCAGAGCTGCTTCAGTCATGCCAGTGTGGGAACGCAGATTTGATCAGTGAGTTGGCAGATTTTGTTGGATTTACTGTACTTGGACTAGATGTCCTGTAGCTGGCCATGCTCTATGGCATTACAGGATCCCTACATCCTATCTGCACCCTATCTTCTCACCGCTGCTTTGTTTTTCATTAACTGTGCATTGTTCTCCATATCATACCATGTGTTGGACTTTGCAAGCGTTTATCTTTTGGTCATGTGTTGTACTACTCTTAAAGCTCCTGTAAAAGCTCAATTCAAACCAGTTTAAATTAAAAATAACACATTTGTCTGTCTTGTCTGAGAGAATCTTGAGAAAGTACAATGTAAGAATTACATTATGATCATTACAAACCATGATGTAAACTGTAAATTTCTTTAGCTTAAGCTAACCCAAGGCATCAGTCATCATTTGTTTGAGCTCAAATCTATTTGTTGGCTCAAAATAATCACTTGCTGCGTACCTCAGTGCATTTCTCTCATGTGATGTAATGAAGAGGCAGTATTATCTGTTGTATGTTGAGTATCACCATGCCTAATCTCACTTAAAGGGTTAACAATAGTGGTTTGTTGAAGAATCGATCCATCCCTCCTCTGACTCTCTTGGCACTGAAGCATGGCATTCCCTGGCTGCTGACTTCCTGAGTGTTGAAAATACTCCAGGTCAAAGGGGAGATTTTTCCACTGTAAACTAAACAGCGGAGAGGAATGCACTCAATGCCCAAACGCTTGAGAACATCTGTGGGAGTATGCACAAGTGTACCCTGATGCTTGATGTCTTTACAAGCTCAGAAATCAATGTGTGTGTTGTGCTTCAGACTCTGCAGGCCAGAGGTGATGCAGAGCTCAAATGTACACTGTGGCACTTGTTAAATAAAATGTAGAGGAAACGTTGCACTACGGCATGGTTTCAGCCATTTGCTCATAATGTTAAATCTTAAACCCACA